ATTTAACCTACAATGCCTCTATAGAAACAGGAACCCCAAAGTAGGATAACCTGTTACAAATGTAGTTCATGCTAAAAGCTATTTACATTGAAAACTGCTTCAGGGTTCTCTTTTGATGCAATGTTATCCATAAGATTCTGTGGATAATAAGATCCATTGACAGGTAGGTCCCAAAGATACCTGTGGATTTCAACACGTAAACCAGGCTGTCTACCTATAGGCAGCAAGGCTGTGTTCTGCAGGCTGTCTCTCATAGCTCATCCCTACCCCACTCCAGAATCTTCCCCCTCTAGCTTCTGGACTAACAGAACCCTTAATAAGGACTTATTTTTATTTTTATCTGTAAGTTGTAATTAAACTCATCTAATAAGGTTTTTAAATAAGTTACATCACTCACAAATTCCAAATATTTGTATTGTTCCACAGCCAGATTAAAATAGAATTGGTTCTTCTTTCTCTTAAAAAAATCAGTTCTTCATTAGTGTTTTACTCACCTAATAGTATGATAAACTTCAGCAATCACCTAAAAAAAGAAACATGTGATTTTCATCTCTTTCAAAATGAGACTGCGATTGTTTTGAATAGCTCAGGTATTCACATTCTAGAGAAAAGTATGTTTGCAACCATAAAGTTCTGTTAACTCTCATTTTAATCTTTTCAGAGGTCATCCTTCAGCCTGCTCCTGCAATCACTTACCGCACGATTGGGGGCATCCTTGACTTTTATGTATTCCTGGGAAATACTCCAGAACAAGTGGTTCAGGAATATCTGGAGGTATGGGCTCTGCTTGTAGAGAGTTATAATTTATTGCTCTTATCTCATACACTCATTATAAATTAAGAAGAGAAAAATTAAATTTATGTAAGCTATGCATTATGAATGCTGGGACTGTGAGTCTGTCATTGGTCGTGTGTTTATTTTGATGCACATTTGTTGGGTGCCTGCTGAGTGCTAAAGAGGCATTGCGCAAGGCTTACTAAATGCAAAAATAAGTCAGATACCATCCTGTTTCCAAGGATATCGTAGTCCATCCATATGTGATCCGTCATTCCAAACATCAACAGCCACAAATCAGCAGAATTTATTCATTCATTCAATAAAGAAAAATTTAGTGAAAAGAAACTATGTCAAAGGAACTGTGCTATTTAGTTTTTATTCAATTTTTACAACAGGAAAGAACTTTAGATACCATTTAGCCTGAACTTTCTGTTACACAGATGAAAAACCTAGGTATAGAAAGATGAAGTGACTTGCTCAATATGACACAAAGTCATGTGAAATATGGTCCCAGATACCAGCTAATTTGTAATCAAATAGGGGAAGTCTGACACTGTCTGAAATAATTATAGTAGGAGACACCTTACAGTAAGTGCCATTAATGAGGTGCAAAGAAACTGTGTGGGAATTCACAGGCACTGTCACATGGGAGGGCAGCGGCTTCTAGGGAACAATGTGAAATAGGGCTGTGGCTGAGATTTTCTCAGAGTGTTGGCTTGAGCAACTTGAAGACCTGGACTTTTTTTTTTTTTTTAGTTTATTTTTATTTATTTAGAGAGATAGAGAGCAAGCAGTGGGGGGTGCAGAGAGAGAGAGAGAGAGAGAGAGAGAGAGAGAAAGAGAGAGAGAGTCCCAAGCCAACTCTACAATGTCAGCTCAGAGCCTGATAGGGAGCTCAAACTCATAGACCAGGAGATCATGACCTGAGCCAAAGTCAAGAGTCAGATGCGTAACCAACTGAGCCACCCAAGCACCCCTGTAAACCTGGATTTTAAACATAGTCCAGTGTTTTTTCACGTAATCACTCATAATCCTATCAATCCTGATTCCTTTTTCCTTAGCACATACCACTATCTGAAATTATATTAGGCATTTATGTATTTCCTTTAATCTCTGTGAGAGCAGGAACTATGTTTGCTTTATGCTGCTATATCCCAAGTGCCTACATCAATGCTCAGCACATCATAAACACTCAGAAAACATTTACTGAGTGAATGATTATTATTTTTTTCCTTCCAGTATGACACCATTATTCAATCATTTTTGCTAATCCCATTATTTTGTGATGTTGCAGTTGCTGAGAATATGTTTAGGTACTTAGGAAAGAAAGATGTGAGTTGTAGAATTTTGCAAATTACCCTAGGAGATTTCTCTTGACTCTGACATTTTTAGATCTGGGGGCTTTATAGAAGGTGAAATGGAAACAGTGTTTTCTGTGTCAGACATGGTCCTCAAAACAGTAATTTTTTAAATGCTTAGCCGGGCCTGTATCTATTTTTTCAGCTCATTGGACGACCATTCTTGCCTCCCTACTGGAGTCTTGGGTTCCAGCTTAGTCGCAGGAACTATGGCGGAATCAATGGATTGAGGAAGGTTGTGGACCGAAATCGTGGAGCTGGGATCCCATATGTAAGTTGGAACTTCTCTTATCAGTGTAAGACAGCATTTCCTATCTTTTAGTGTTTGCATCTAATTCAATTTATTAGGAACCTATACAAAGAGATAGATGGAAAGTTGGATAGATAGATACATAGATAGGGACATCTACTGTCAGAAATTTGCATGCTAAATTACCTATATCATCATCAAAAGAGCTTGGTTTATGGAGTCAGATGGGTATGGTTTTGAATTTTACTTTACTTCTTCCTAGTTCTGTCAGTGTTGGGCTAGTTAATTAACATCTCTGAGTCCTGGTTTCCCCCTTTATAAAATGAGAATGTAAGGCTGACTTTGGTGGACTGATAGTGAGGATTGCCTTACACTTTATGGAAGACAGGCAGCACAGAGGATGAACTGTTGACAAAGTTAGCTGTTATTTTATAAAAGAAAGCAACATCTGGGGTGATATGGCTAATAAGAGCTGATGGCTATAAAAATGACTTAGAATAAGTATCTCATAGTGACCTTGCACACTCCTTTAAGATCTAGCAGACTCTGATATCAAAAGCTCTGTTGCTCCAAAGCTCTGTTTATGATGTTCAATGTCCACCAGTAAATAGATAATTATTAGGTGTATACTATTTGACAAATTCATCCAGGAGATTCATAACATTATTAGTGAGGTTATCAAAACAATTTATGTTGGGCTAGATCTTTGGAACTGTGTTGCAAGCATATGTTTGACTAGGATCCAATTTGGCTAGGATATATTTGACTTTGGCCTGATCTCAGGACTTTTCAATCCCCTCTCAGGGCAGAAAGGGGAGCAGGCAGAGAGATGAATTTTTCCTGTGAGAAAACATGACCACTGTGTTGTTTTGGAGTAACTGATTATATGTTTCATTTTAATGCCCCCAAATATGCTGTCTGCAAGCATTCAATTCCAGGAGGAATCAGGCCAGGTCTCAACACGTCATTATGATTTTATAAGGTGCTTTCACAATCATGGTTAACCCTCATTAATTGGTATTTGGTACATAAGGTAATGGAGACTCACTGCACAGTTCATAACTTTTCCAAGGCCACTCCAGGTAGCTAAATGGCAGGACCAGGATTCAAAAATAGTGCTTTTGACTACAAGGGGTGTTGGTTTCAATCTATCCCCGTACCTCTGATGGGAAAGGCTTTTCTGAGGTGTTGCTGATTCAGAAACAAATGAGCTTCTCTTCCATGGATTGGATCTTTCCCACCACGTGGTTCCCGAGGACACCTGGGTACTAGCTGACTGCCCTGTGTTAGAACAGATGTGCCACATTGGCAATAGGCCACAAGCCACATTTCCTTCAGGCCTGCAAGCCAGAGCCTTCTAATACACATGAGAAACACTTACTTAAAAGACCTTCAGATGTCTTTGAAGTTGTGGCAGATTGGAAAAAAAGAACAGCTGGGGTCACCTTTGACTCCTATCACCTATCACAAAAGCCCCAGTGGACCCCACCCACCCATGAATACGACCTGGGGAAATATCATTCAACCCCTTTGCATTTCAGTCTCCTCCCTGAGAATAACACCTGCCCATCTCAGATTGATAGGCAAACCCTAAAATAATGTGTGTCTGAGAGTTTGGTCAATTAAAGCTCTGCCCTCTGTCATTGATCTTTGTGAGTTATTACTCTAGCAGTTTTATAGAACAAGATGACTGTTTTCTCCTCTTCTGATATATTCTAGCTTAATGTTTAGGCTCCACGTTTGCACAGTGTTATAATATTATGAATATACTTACCCAAACAGACATTTAAAGCACACCTGTTTTACGTCAAGCATCCAAGCTCTCGAGTTACAGAGATGAACAAGACACAGTCCCTACCATCAAGTTCCCTCCCAAGTTCCTCCCTTATAACATGCACCTGTGAGGAGAGAGAGAGAGAAAGACAAAACTACAACGTAAGAGCACCTGCATCTTTCAGAAGGGGCTTATCTACTTCTAGGAGGTAGCCAAGTCCCGGGAGTTTGAGGATCACTGAGAAACACAGCTTCAGTTTTAGTGAGCAAGTACCCGAGCTATGATACCTTCCGTGAGCACAGTGATATTTTCTAACCGGCGGGTTGGATCTTTTCAGGATGTCCAGTACTCTGACATAGACTACATGGAAGGGGGAAAGGATTTCACGATTGATAAAGAGGCTTTCCCTCATCTCGAAGATTTTGCCAAAGACTTGCATGGCCAAGGAATGAAATATGTGATCATTATGGTATGTTCAAACAAATCTGTCGCCTCGTTTTTCCTTTCAAAGTGTAGAAGAAATTTACAAAAATAATTGTTATCATATTTATTTATTAGCATCCTGGAATATTAAATAAATCTAACTACCATCCCTATGATACTGGAAGTAAGAAGAGAGTATGGATCTGGCAGGACAATGAATTTGCCATTGGACAGGTAATTTTGCAAGAAAATCACTAACTTACAGTCATCTGGGGAAGTCGGTACTTTTGTTATGAGAGTGAGTAGAAGGCAGTATCATTACTATTTTCATGGCTTTAGAGGCTTCCTTTAATATTATTTTTAGACCAATAGATGTCATAGTAAAATAATTAAAATTCTGGGGGATTTAAAAACATTGAAATATATTTCGCATATGACATTGTGTAAATTTAAGGCGTGCGACGTGTTGATCTGATATGTTTCTATATTGCAGTATGATTGTCATTGTGAAAATACCATTTCTACCACTTCACATAATTATCATTTCTTCTTTTGTGGTGGGAAAACTAATGTCTAGTCTCTAAAAAGCTAGCTCCTGAATTCCTAGATATTTGAGAAGCAATGTATTATTAGAAGAAAATTCATTTATTCTTAAAGTCCTTCTGCACCCCAATTTCCTTGTCTTTCCCAAGACATTCAGCTATAATAATGCAGCAATATGCTCATAGGCTAATGTGCAACCTAACGTCCTTTTCTTTTCCGTGAGACTTGTAGGTAGAGCCTAGCCTTCATTCCAACGTAGCAGTTTTAGGCATTGGAGTAGGCTGATTAGAAGCCTCTTTTCAGGGTACTTGAAATCAAATCATGTAGGCAACTTTGTATTCCAGTTACTTACAGGCTCAGCCCTAGATAATTGGATTATGTGACGTTTCCTCAAACATACTTAATCTAAAAGTTTATGTGACTGCAAATTGTGTTGTTCCTGGGCAGTTTACTTTTCAAAACTCCTTTTCGGGGTTATCAATGCCCCTTACATAACTGCTCACTGAATTCCTATCGACTTTGTTTACAATACTTAATTCTATGTGTTTTCTTTTTCATTGGGTCGAACCTTCCAGGAAATAGTAGAGAAGTTCCCTTCCTTCCCCAAACCAATGCTTTGCTTGGTTTTGTTTGAAGAAAATTTCTAAAATGTCAGGTAGACCAATAATCATCTGTAAGTACAAAATCAGAGGCCATGGTCACATAAACATGATTTTTTTCATCTAAAAAGTAGGTTATCCAGACCTGTGAGTCATTTCAGTAGGACTCATATTTGAGTGGTATACAATTAGTAAGTTGCATGTAATTAGTGGGTGGAGGTTTATTATAAAGGCATTTGGTTAGAATGAAGCTTGCTGGGTCTGCTCTAGATAGGGTGTTGCTGTAGGTGACTTCTTTACCACACTGCCTATTTCCTGAGGTCCAAAATTACCTCTGGTTATTGTTTGTGCCCTATCACCTATTCACTCTTTGGTGCCCTATCAAATAGTTCAATCCATTTAAATTGAGAATTTTAAGCTCTCATCTTGAGGTTTAAGAAGTCTCAGAATTTTATGTATGTGTTTTTTACATTATATATTTATATTTTTATAATATTTATAATATAAATATATACATATAATATATAATATTTATTCATTATATATTCATATATGATATATATTCATTATATATTAATATATAGTATATATGATATATATTCATATATATAATATGTTTTCATTACATATATGAATATATATTCATTATATTGCCTGAACATCATCCTAAATCATAACCTATAAATTCATTGAGAAAATTAATAAGAATGTAAGCACAAAATCTTGTATCCTATCAGTTCAGGATTTTCAATAATTTGGCTATAAGTTCTATCTTTGTGCTATTTCTGGAAAATGTTGAAAGCTACATTAATAGGAATAGATAGGAAGAGAAGAGAGGATAAGAGATGTTGGAACTGAATAAGAAGCACAAAATTCATTTCACCATTTTATTTATTTATTTTTCAGTAAGTTTTTTTTTTTTAATTTAAAGTTGTTAACATAGAATGCAATATTGGTTTCAGCAGAATTCAGTGATTCATCACTTACATACAGCACCCAATGCTCATCACAAGTGCCCTCTTTAAATTCATTTCACCATTTAAAACGATTGTTTATATACCAAAATCAACATATTCTTTATAAACTTTGTTATTCCACATGGGTTTAAATGCTCTTTAATTAACACATTAAATGAATCCAATCATTCGCTCCTGAAATATTATCTAGTTAGACGTGTGAGAATTTTAAATAGTTCTTCCATCTGGTCTGACATGATGAAATGTTACTTTTGTGTTTTCATAGAAAAAAGACATCTGATAACATCTCAGTTCTGTGATCAGCAATTGTTCCTTCTCTTTTTACTTCTTTTGGGTTCCTTGCATCTATTTTACTATTTAGTTTTGGGGGACATTTTGATTCTGAAATGATAAGATGCATGGGGCTCCTAACGGAAGAAGCAATAGCCTGCCATCAGTGTGTAAGTCACCCACCAGCCACACCAACTGTGGTGCCTTCTTTGTTCTCTAGGGATATCCCGGATTGACGGTCTTTCCTGATTTTAGCAATCCAGTTTGTATTGAGTGGTGGAGAGAGCAGATCAGTGAATTTCATAAAACTCTCGAGTTTGATGGAGTGTGGATTGTAAGTTGTTATTCCCGGATCAAACTTCTTTTGGAAATGGATGTTCCAAGATTTGAGAATGAGTTTTGACCCTGATCTGTAATAAAATAGTCTTCTTGCCTTAGTGCTTAGGGGCGCCTGGGTGGCTTAGTTGGTTACACGTGGGACTTCGGCTCAGGTCATGATCTCATGGTTTGTGGGTTTGAGTCCTACATCAGGCTCTGTGCTGACAGTTCAGAGCCTGGAGCCTATTTTAGATTCTGTGTTTCCCTCTCTCTCTGCCCCTCCCCAGTTTGTGCTCTGTCTCTGTTTCTATAAATAAGTGAATGTCAAAAAAAAAATCCTTTTACCTAATGCTGAGCTTCTATGCAGTGAAATAGACCCCTCAAAACCCTGGATTTTAATTCTGGATCTGCCACCGACTGATTATGTCTTTTGTGAGAAAGTCTTTTGCTTTCTCGTGGTCTCAGCTTTTTCCTCCATTAACTGTCTTTCAATCTAAAAATACTGGTTTATTAGAGGCTATAATTGCTATTATTTGTTGCACTGATTCATTAAAATTTAAAGTTAATTAGAGAATGATTTAATGAATCCACTTTATTTTTAAGTGGGGATAGCAGGTGGAGATATTTCTTTGAAACTTGGGAAGTTATCTCTGTTAACAGGATTAGGCATCACCTATTTTTTAATTTTTTAATCCATTTTGAAGAAATAGATTTGATGTCAATTATATCTTCATGTCCCTCACTGAGTGGAATAAAAGGGGAAATTGTAAAATAGAAACATTCCTCTATCTTAGGCTTTTTTTAAAAACAATTTTTTTAATGTTTATTTATTTTTGAGAGAGAGAGAGAGACAAAGCATGAACAGGGGGTAGGGTAGAGAGAGAGGGAGACACAGAATCCAAAGCAGGCTCCAGGCTCTGAGCTGTCAGCACAGAGCCCGATGCGGGCCTCGAACTCACGAACTCCGAGATTGTTACCTGATCTGAAGTTGAACACTTAACTGACTGAGCCACCCAGGTCCCCCAAGCGTTATTTTTTTTTTTAACGCATCACTGAAATAATAACAGCAACAATAACATTTATGGGTAAAAATCAGCCTTTGGGATGGTATTTCCTAATTAACAAATTGAACTCAAGGTATAAAAAGTAAAACGTGCCTGATACCACTGAGAGTTGGAGGGCAGTTTAGGCACAATCTAATCCAAAGGATGAAACAGAGGTCAAGAAAATTTAGGAAGATTACTCAAGACCCCTAAGTCAGTTGGTAAGAGACCCCAGACGGGCTCCTAGTTCAGGTGACATTCTCAGACAACCAACCCAACTGTAGGTAACCCTTTCCCTTGTGTGGCTTTTGTGTCTTTGCAGGAAATGGATGAAGTATCCAGCTTTCACCACGGATCCAATTGTGGGTGTGAGTCAAACCACTTGAACGTTCCTCCTTTCACTCCCAGTAAGTTGTCACAAGGCTTGTTGAAAGCAGCCTCAGCAGCACGGGTTGTGGCAGAGCTCAGTCCCACTGTCCTGGAGCACACGGCCTGCAGCCAGGTGGGCCGCTCCTCTGCTGGAGGCCCTGCCACCACATTGGTCTCTGGCCACCTTTTCTCGCTGCATGAACCGAACCCCAGGGCGAGTGTGTGATGGAGACATGCCTCCCCCACGGGGTTCTGTGTTCTCCCAGCCCCTTTGGGGTTCTTCAGAAAACCTCAAGTCCAAACTACCTTCCATTGAAGTAAAGCTGCAATTTTGTTAATTTTTTTTTCTGCTCATTAGCCATAATTGAAAGCATCAATGGTCCCAATTAGGTCTCTTAATTTTTTTTAATTAAAAAAATTTTTTTAATGTTTATTTATTTTTGAGAGAGAAAGAAAGAGAGACTGAAGGAGGGACAGAGAGAGAGACACACACACAGAATCTGAAGCAGGCTCCAGGCTCTGAGCCATCAGCACAGAGCCCGAGGCAGGGCTCAAACCCACGGAACCATGAGATCACGACCTGAGCCAAAGTCGGACATGTAACCAACTGAACCACCCAAGTCTCTCTTATTTTTAAGTCTCATTTCTAGTCAAATTTTCCATTCCTGATTTTGAAATTGTGTGTGTGTGTGTGTGTGTGTGTGTGTGTGTGTGTGTGTAACAGCATCGAATAGATTGTGCTGTGGAAACAAGTAAGCCCCAGCATCTAAGTGGATTAACACAATAAACATTTATTTTTTGCTCATATAATACTCCAGCATGAGATGTGTGGCTGTCACTCAAGCAGTGACTCAGGGATCTAGTTACTTCCATTGAGTGGTGCTCCCACCTCAGAGCCCCTTGTTTCTGGCTTCCTGGGTGAAGGAGAGAGACGGTGGAGGTAGAGGGAGTTTTATTGGCCTTGAAGTGAGGTGTGTTCAATTGGCTCACATTTCTTTGCTCAGAAAGCCAATCACATATTCTCAGTTTACCCTGGAGCAAAAGTGTGAAATACAACCTTCCTCTCCCAGGAAGAGAACACAGGCTTGGTGAACATCTGGCCAGTCTCTGCCAGTTTATTCTGGTTTGTCCACTTTCCCTGCACCCTGGACTAAGGTTTACCTGTTTCTTGAGCCCTTTCTGGTCACTGAAAGAGTGGAGAACTTTTCGGGGAGAAATCTTGTCTTTAGATCACTTAACTTCTTGCAAAATCTATTTGCTTGCCCTGTTTAGTCTTTATTCGTCTCTGCTCGGTCTTTGTTCCCATTTTTTTCCCCACTGTGGGTCAGTTTATTATGTTTCCCTTTTAATCTCTTAATATTCTTCTTAGCCAGAACTAAGTTGTTGTGTTGTTGTAGTTTTGTTTTGTTTTGTTCTATGAAAAAAACTGCAATGTCATCCTGTTCTGCCTGCTTCTGGCAAACACCTCACTCCCTACCTCACAGCATTGTGTCTTCCTACCTGTGACTAGCCTCTGCCCAGAGCTGCTCTGCTTCTCACCTTTTCAGGTTTGGAGAGCACAAACTAGCATGATAAAGACTTAGATATTTACCTTTGACCTTTAGACAGTTGTGGCGTCTTTTCTTTTTTTGTTTCTAATATTTATTTATTTTTGAGAGAGAGAGAGAGAGCGCGCGAGCAGGAGCACGGGAGGTGCAGAGGAACAGGGGGCCAGAGGATCCAAAACAGGCTCCACACTGGGGCTCGACCTCACGAACCTCGAGATCATGCTCTCAGCCAAAGTCAGCCCCTCAAGCGACTGAACCACCTGGGCGCCCCTGGAGTGTCTTTTCTTATCATGGAAGTGGTTGTGAGTCTCATTCCACGGGCTGAGCTGTGCCAAAAATACACATTTCATTATGTTTTGGAATTCAACTTAATTTCTGGTTAAGTTGACCTGGTGGGATTCTGTTGGGCTTGTGGGGAAAACTCAACCTCATGGTTTCCTGGTCCCACTGCTTTCTGGAATTGTACTTCATACTGCAGCCCTATGTCCACAACAGAGCTTCACGAAGGAGGGCTGCTATGTCTCAGTTCCTGGTCTACCAGAGAAAACATAAGGGAAGAATGAGATCCTAGGCTACAAAGCAGAAACTTTTGAGCATTTTAGGGAAAATACAGTCGCAGTGGTGATTCTAGAGGCAGGATCTGAGTTCTCATTTGTGAAACCACCCAAATGTCATCTCTCATTTCTTTAAAAAGCCTACCCAGCATATGAGTACCTATAATGGAAGAGTGAGAGCATTTTCCTTTCCACTGTCCCTCATGCCTGTTCCCAACACATTCAGTTCCTCTTGATCAAATATATGTAGAGAAATGTGTGTGTCTTATTTGTATTTAATCTCAGACCAACTTCCTGTGGCAATGAGCTTGTTCCTCAGTTACTCCATCCAGCACCATTTTTTTGTGACCTCAGTGGGCGTGCACATTAATTTTAATGATCTATCTCAGGGGCTTAGTGTAGATCCGTGTAGGAAGCAGCATTTAGGGTAGAATTTAAAATCTGGAAAGGATTTCGTTAGGCGGAGACTGGGTAGGAAGATAGAACAAGGAGGAAGCAAACAATTGGGTGGTTATTTTGTTAGAGCCCATTGACAAGGAAGTGCGTCGGTAATGGGTATTTCCCCACAGGAGTTCTGGACGGCTTCCTTTCTGCAAGAACCCTCTGCATGGATGCAGAATTTCATCAGGGCCTTCACTATGATGTCCACAGCTTGTATGGCTACTCCATGGCAAAAGCTACACACTTGTAAGTACTTGGTTTTCCCCCTAATTCCAGCTTGGGGGAGTTAGGAGGCAGAGGGCTTTCAGAATCTTCCAGAAGTATGTTTTTCAAATATTTTTGTGCTGATAAGGACACAGAAACTCAGATCTTATAGGCTACTAAAGAGCTCTTTTCCTATAGCCCCTTGGTTTCTGTGGGAGATTAGTTTTGATTGGCTTGTGACTAAGGGACTTCATCAGATACTAGTAGGCAGTAAGGTGTAAGGTATTTAGAGCATTCATTTGGAAGCCATCCCTTGCTGAGGTCCTATTACCCAATGTTGCTGTGGTTAACACACTAAGGTTTCCTGAATTGGCAAATAAAAATATAGGACCATGGGGCGCCTGGGTGGCGCAGTCGGTTAAGCGTCCGACTTCAGCCAGGTCACGATCTCGCGGTCCGTGAGTTCGAGCCCCGCGTCAGGCTCTGGGCTGATGGCTCGGAGCCTGGAGCCTGCTTCCGATTCTGTGTCTCCCTCTCTCTCTGCCCCTCCCCCGTTCATGCTCTGTCTCTCTCTGTCCCAAAAATAAATAAAAAAAACGTTGAAAAAAAAATTAAAAAAAAAAAATAGGACCAAGTTAAAATTGTACTGGACATACTTACACTAAAAATTATCCATCGTTTAAATGAAATTCAAGTTGACCTGAGTGTCCCCTGTTTACCTGGCAATGCTGCATGCAATACTTCTAGCTACTCTCCCCACTGCCTGCCCCAGTCTCCCTCTCCATTCTCCTGTCTGCAAACATATGCTTATCTTTAAAGCCTCTCTTCAGATGGTCATTCTGGAAACCTGCCTGTCGGTTCTAGAAAGACTATCTCCCTTTTTTTGTGCTACCTTTGTTTGTATTGCAGTAAGCTTAATGTGCAAAAATCTTATAACTTTTAGATAACCCATTTTTTCTTTCTTGCTGGACTGTAAGTTTCTCGAGGGAAAAGCCATGCCTATATCCTTAGCCTGAGGAATAGTGTATACTAAAGATGTGTGTTGAATAGCTGCTGGTCTGAGGGAGAGAAGTCAGGAAGGGCTCCACAGGGGGCCTGGTGAGAGAGGTGAGTTAGACTACACCACTTGTTTTCCTGCTCCGTTGTGCCCTCCAGACTTTGAATTATGCTGGATTGTCCAGGTGAGAGAGAGTCCTTGTCCAATAAATGCCAGTTTTGATCTCAATAAAAGAAAAGCTTCAGGAAAAAGGACACATTTCTAATTTTGTTATCTTCTCTTTCTGACCTCTGTCTCCCTCACTCTACCTTTCCTGGGAAATAAATTAGATGAATAAGGCTCAGGTTCCTCATCTTGGGAACGGGAGGCTGGGACTGATGTTGGCCAGAGTTTCTTTTAGTTCCGATCTATTTCAACCCGTAGACGCTTCTAAGAATGGAAAGTGGGTGGGAGAGTGGCTAAGTGACCAGGGTAAGAAAGAATGGGCAGGAAGAGGGAAAGAGAGTTGCAGATTGCTTTATGGCTGGTGTCTCCATGTAATAAAAGTTCTGTAAGATCATGATGGGCTTGGTTCATAGATTCTAATAGCTATGATTAATAGTTAAAAGGTAACTGTGATGGAGAAGGTAGTAAGTGCCTTTCTAAGTTCTCTGGGTCAGACAGAGTGACCTAAGTCCCTGGAAATAAGTGGAACTTGGCCTTTGGATATGAGGCAGAGTGGTAGAAAAACAAATAAGATGTTTGTTCAGTGGAATCTGAGCATCAGGAAAATTTAAGTCATAGATCTGATGGCTATTTGGCTCAGCCTTCCTGGAAGTATTGTTCGGGGGCAGTGATTACTGGTCTACCCCAGGAATGAACTTCTCCTCCCTCTAAGCTGAAAGTAGAAAGATCAGATCCCCTCAGAGATCAGGAGTGGATGATAAGCAGACCAAACCTGAGGGATAGAAAGGAGAGACCTGAGGATCTCTGAATAAGATTGTCCCTCTGGGCTTGAAAACAGACTTATTTAATCTGTGGTACCATGAAGGTTGGCCTGTAGATAAACCTGTAACCTCAGATAACCTTATCCCTGTTTCAGTTTTACTCTGTACAACCTGAAGGTGTTTCTTTTATGATCCATGACTGCAGCGTACAATAAACCCCCTAGTCAGTGGTAATAAAGGCAAAGTACCTGCTCATCGAGAGCCAAGTAGACATGAGGGTAAGGGTGGAAGAGTGAGTTTTCTCCTTTATGTTACCTTTATCACTTGCTAAATTGTACAAATGGAGGGCTCACTCTTCTAAACCCATCTTCTTTTTCAGAATTTTCTCCCCTCTGCCCTTGTAAGTCATTTGGCATTGATAGACTCCTCATAAGGTGGTCCTCAGGATATGAAGTGGGGAAGAATTGGTGGCTGTGACAGGGTCTGTGAGGAACTGCCCGGTGCCTGCTGGCACACTTGTCTCAGACCATGTACCAAAAGGAAAGGGCTCACAGCAGTTGTGGCCGGGGTGTCACTACCCCATAGTTGTAATTTTGTTTAATATGAGATCCCTAAAGGAAGGTGTGAGCTGTTTATGAGGGAAGGAGAAAGGAGGGAAAGGCATTTCAAGGAAGTGCGTATGCAAAAGAGTATTCAGAATAAAAGCTAGGAAAAGAGCCGTCATCTAACTACGTGTTCTTCCCGCCCCATGCTCCCCTCCATCCTGAAGTCTTTATCTTTCTGCACTCCATCTTTTCAATTCCTTTGCTTTCTCTTCTATCTAGTATAGATATTTGTATATCTAGTATAGGTATTTGTATTTGTATATCTAGTATAGGTATTTGTATTTGGATTGCATTTAACTCTATAAGGAGTATCATATGTCATCTTTGGAGACTCACTGATCTCATATTAATTAAGATTTCCCAACATTGAGAACTGCTAATTATAAGTTCTGAAGCTTTTGAGGAACCCAGGTGCCTGGAGCCCAGGTGGTGTACAAACTATCCTCCTAGGCCAGCACGGGCTACAGAATTTCAACATGAACTGGTGTTATACTAAACAGGATGATATATGTATGGGCAGCAAAGCATGGAAACAAGGGCCATTGGAAAATCTCTGTCTGGAGGGAGAAGATGGAGCCAAGGACCCAAGGCACGGTTCCAGTGTCTGGTCGACCAGAAGGGTCAGAGGCACAACCAGATCCAACAAGATGAAGAAAGCATAATCAAGAGGACAGGAGTCTAGAGACATTTCTTAGGGCGGGGGGTGGGGGCTGGACTATAGAGGTTTGTGCTGTCTTACATGAAGTCTAAAACCTTATTCAGAAGTGGGAAAGAAGCTCTTAACAATGCTAAACTAGTTTGCTCACCTAGCTTATGATGCCCTGATGCTTTTTCTGTTTGGTTGGAAAGTCCATTGCTGCCCTTGGATATAGGTGAGTCCTAGACATTCACAGCTCACTTCACATTCAATTGATTGTGTTCCTTTTCAGGGCCATGGAGGGTATCCCCTTAAACAAAAGTAGCTTCATCTTATCCCGTTCTACTTTTGCTGGGTCTGGCAAGTTTGCTGCTCATTGGTTGGGAGACAATGCAGCCACATGGGATGATCTCCGATGGTCCATCCCTAGTATCCTTGAGTTCAACCTATTTGGTATCCCCATGGTGAGTTTTCCTCTTAACCAAGGAAACTTAACTTTTTCTCCTTTGGCATTCTTTCCATTACTAGTCTTTGAGGTGTCTGAAAACCAAGAAGCATATATGTCTCTGTGTGGTATGTATTAGAAAATTCATTTTTAGGAAGGAAAAAAAAAGAGTGGGAGAGAGACAAAGCAATAAGAGACTCTTAAAAACTGAGAACAAACTGAGGGTTGATGGGGGGTGGGAGGAAGGGGAGGGTAGGTGATAGGTATTGAAGAGGGCATCTTTTGGGATGAGCACTGGGTGTTGTATGGAAACCAATTTGACAATAAATTTCATACATTAAAAAAAAGAAAATTCATTTTTATATGTGGCATGAACTGTCTTTTGAAGACGAATGGTAAAACTTTATCAGTGGGTAGTCATCCATGGAATCTCTGAAGTTAGGATAGAGACACCATGAGTAAAATATATTAACATCACAGAAAATGTCCATCAGCAAAGCATCAGTGAATAGCAAAGGATGAAATTGGGAGCTGAATATTGAGGATGAGCCCTTGATATACCACCAATCAGTCTTCCTCTTGTCAGCTGATTCACGATGCACATTTGCTGCTTTCTTCCATTTGGCTGGGGGCTGGCCCTGAAAGCCTGGAGAACCCCTTTAAACATGGAATGGTGGAAATAAAAAAGATTTTGTTCCCTTACTACATAGGTATACAATCACTGCTGTCTCCTCTATCACTGACCACTGTACTTGTATGTGTGCTAAATCTCCAGGTAGGTGCCAACATCTGTGGTTATACAAAAAATGTCACAGAGGAGCTCTGCAGAAGGTGGATGCAGCTTGGAGCCTTTTATCCACTATCAAGGAATCATAATGGGCCTGAGTTTGTGGTAAGGTCTCCAAGTGAAGGGATGGAAACTTCTTGGATTGTCTAATCTAGTTGTTCTCAAAGAGGATTGCAGAAAATCCTACAGGTTGGCCCTAAGTGCAGAAGGAGAATAGATAAATTTGGGGTCATAGGCCCAAAGAGCAGAATATTGGGATAAGGGTATATGGGAAGGAATATATACATATTGAGTGATTTTATTGTGATTTATATTGATTTTTCTTTTACCCACCAACAAAGGTGAGAAGAGGTGTTAGAGTTTCTGTGGTGCTATTATGTCTGTCACTACCTTTTATAAGATGGGACCATTGGAGTCCACTGGTACTATGAAGTACTATGAGGAACCTCAAGGTATAAAATAAATTAGATCAGCTCTGAAGGGAGCAGGACCCTCTATAACCCTTTTATCTTCATGGTTACCTCCATGGGCTTCTTTATCACCCTTGCGGCTGCCATAGACTGGGATCATAAGACACCTGTCAAATTTAAACTCTGCCACATGTTTGCAGTTTACATTGGTAAAACCATTAATCTTTGATACTGTTTTTTCATCCATGATGAAGAAGCAGGACCAAGATCCTTATAGTTTGGGGAACCCTTTGCTATCTTCCAAGGTGGAGACCATAGCTACTTTTATCTGAGAAAGCTTCTTATCATAAGGGAGCAAACTTTCAATACACAATGGAAGTATCTAATATTTGCTTCCTTCTCTCCTAGGATCAGGATCCCGTTGCCTTTGGCAGCCACTCTCTGCTGGTGAATTCCTCCAAACATTATCTGAACATCCGCTACACTCTACTCCCCTATCTCTACACCCTTTTCTACCGAGCTCACACCCGGGGAGACACCGTGGCAAGGCCCCTTGTCCATGAGTGAGTTTCCTGACCCACCAAGAGTCCCTCTCAGATCCTGATCTCACCTGGTTAGTCAGGATCTTGTTGCCATCTAGTGTGCTGTTGTTCTGTATTGGAGGTTTCATCTGCCTTCTCTGTTTTCTAGGTTCTACCAGGACCCAGCTACATGGGAGGTGCACGAGCAGTTCTTATGGGGGCCTGGACTTCTCATCACACCTGTTTTATATGAGGTATCTTTATAATCTGAACAATAGTGTGGAATATCACATTTGTCCTCATGGCTCTCTGGCTGGATAAGCTCAGTCCTGAGTGTCTATAGCTGTGTTTAAATATCAATACAAATAAGAATGAGAGAAAGATTATGAAAGTTTGGAAATTAGAAAAATAGTAATTCTTGGTCCACTGCGTCACCAAGCAAAACAATTTCCGTTTTGTAAAACTACATTAAAACTTGTTTTCTTAAGCCTATGGCCATGCATTGACAGGGGCTTTAAATGCCATGGGAGTTTCAGCTGGCCATCTGTCTGTACTTCCCTTTGACCAAAGGATGTGTGCTCTTGGGGTTGGATCGGGAAAAGAGAAGAGGCGAGAGAGAGAAACAGGGAGGGTGAGAGGTCTGGACAAGGGGAGGGTGTTACCCTGGAGACCATATATATGAAGGACCACACATACCCTTCCTAAGTATGAGTGGGGAAGTGTGGGGGAGGAATCAGGATTATGCTGGCCATTTTATAAACATGAAAGATCACCACTGTATTCATGTCAAAGACCCGTCTCTGGGCAGATGCTGGGCAGTGGGCAGTCCTACTGGAAGGTTCTCTTAGACGTTTGGCTGTTTCAGTCTCCTCCCACCCATCAGACTAAACAAGTAGCTCAGTGAAAGAACTTTCTATGCTTCTCTTGGGAAGTTCCAGAGCCTTGAAGCAAAACTTATTTATTTGTTTTTAATATGAAATTTATTGTCAAATTGGTTTCCATACAACATCCAGTGCTCATCCCAACAGGTGCCCTCCTCAATGCCCATCACCCACATTCCCCTCCCTCCCACCCCCCGTCAACCCTCAGTTTATTCTCAGTTTTTAAGGGTCTCTTATGGTTTGCCTCCCTCCCTCTCTAACTTTTTTTTTCCTTTCCCTCCCCCATGGTCTTCTGTTCGGTTTCTCAGGATCCACATTTTAATTTCTGGGCACAACTCTGCTCTCAGTAAACTGCCCAACTTTCTAAGTATCTGTATTTGCACTTGTAGAATGGAATGATCCCAACCATCTCTCAAGATGGTACAGACAAACATATGAGGCGTTGTGTAAACTGTAAGGGGTGTGCTGATGTTGCTTATTGTTGGGGTTTCCCTAGGGTGTGGACCAAGTGAAGGCATACATACCGGATGCCGTGTGGTACGACTATGAGACAGTAAGTAAGGCAGCCCCGCTTGGGTCAGAGACCAGCCTCTAGCAGAGGGCATTTCTAAGGCAATGGTCCTGGGAGCTTGGGGGAGGATAACGGTGCAATGCTTTAACTTTAGTTGATAGAGAGTACTTCTCTGTGAAGAAGGTCTTTCTAGACATACTATGAAATGTGCATAACTGGGGTAGGTTTATAGGAATTTTCATTTTATGAACCTGGTTACTCTGCAGCTGTGAGAACTAGTAATTGGCTGGAGGCTGTGATACCCTAGTGAATGAAAGCCCAATTGTGGAATCACCACATGGTACAATATAAAGAAATAGGGCAGATTTGAGTCTCAGATCTGCTATCTACTTTAATTATGCCTTGGGCAATCCTTCGCTTTTGGGGGTCTCTGCTTTCCTTTTTTTTTTTTTGTTTCAAGTTTTTATTTAAATTCCAATTAGTTAATATATAGTGTAATATTGTTTGGGGAGTAGAATTTAGTTATTCATCACTTACGTATAACACCCAGTGCTCATCCCAACGAGTGCCCTACTCAATGCCCCTCACCCAGTCAGCCCATCCCACCATCCAATACCCCTCCAGCAACCCTCAGTTTGTCCTCTGTGGTTAAGAGTCTGTTTTATGGTTTGCCTGTCTCTTCTCACCCACCATATGTTCATCTGTTTCGTTTCTTAAATTCCACATATGAGTGAAATCGTATAGTATTTGTCTTTCTCTGACTGATTCATTGCAAATGAGGTGACTGAACGAAATGATCTCCACAGTACGTCCTAGTGCAACAGTCCATTACGTGCTCTGTCCTCATTCTGTTGGTTAGGGAGTAGCTATCCAGTGGAGGAAACAACTGGTAGAGATGCAGCTACCACCCGATAGGATTGGACTTCACCTCCGTGGGGGCTTCATATTTCCCACCCAGCAGCCCAGCACAACCACAGAGGCCAGGTAAGCTCCTCCCTCATTCTTCTACGGTGTGACTGCTCTGACGCTCCAAGGGGAGTGTGTTATGGGGCACGCAAATGGACACTAAAGGTGGACAGATCATGGGAAAACATCTCCAGTCAGTAATCCATCTCCCCTCCTTTCAAGGTCAGCCCTGAAGTGGCACCTTCATGTTCATTTAGTGGGTAAGGTAGCCTCAGCTCCTCCATGTTTCTAGAGCCTTTCACTTGGGGACTGAATCAGATTTTAAGGACAGTCAAAACAGTCATTCGTGAGGATTTCCCTATGGCCAGCAACTGTCTTCAAGTAGATTCCCTTAGGCATGAGAGAATGCAAGGTAAATAGGAGGTAAGAGTTATCACATGGAAGTCAACATAGCTTCCAGGGTCAAGAGTCAGAAAGTTCAGGTTCAGGCTCCAGCTGTATTACACATTAGATGTATTGCCATGGACAACCTACTTTCTGTGTTGCTGCCTATCACTAGTCAACTGGGGATGACAATGGTTTGAGTTTTTAGTGTTATCATGAAGGTTAAATGAAAATATAGTAGACATGGTTTATTGTCCATAGGGCACTTAGAAGAATGCTTGGCACATGGCAAGCACCCAGTAAGTGCTGATTATTAGTAGTATTGCAAGCCCAGTCTTTGGCAGGAACGGCCTCCTTCTACCATTGTTATGCTCATTCACAACCAGCCTCTGTTGTCTACCCACACCCAACTTCTGTGTTTCCATACAGTGTCAATATCTACTCCATTTCTGGGATAGACTCTGAGTTCATCTGTCCCTAAGGCATGAAAGGGGTTGGTTGAACATAGTTCTATGTCTTCTTCATTCTCTGAAAATTGAGGGTTGCTCTTTCACAGTCGGAAGAATCCCCTGGGACTCATTGTTGCCTTGGACTATAAGAGAGAAGCGAAGGGAGAGCTGTACTGGGATAATGGTGAATTCAAAGGTAGGCTTCCCTCTGTTGCCCTCCCTGGGGTTCTCAGTGGAAAGTAGTCATTGTAGGCTGTCCAGAATGACACTAACCCTGTTATCATCAGTGCTTGCTTCTGTAGCTTGGAACCAATTTATTCTGAAAGTTCAGTTAGCCAAGCACAATGCATTAAAATAGACTTCAGATGAGCAACTTGTATGTTATTGACTCTACCAAAGTGACACACATTATTTGGTTTAGTTTAATTACTCTCTTCTCTGGGTATCATTACCAATACCAAATAATACGTTTTGTAAATAGATTTGTAAAATATTGCTTTGATTACTATCAAGGTGGAGTATCTAATTTGTGTAGTGTGATTTTCCACTGTAAGATTTCCATAGAGGTAACCGACAAAAGCTTATGTGTGGCCTCTGATTATATAAAAGCCGTACCCTGCATACGATTAGCATTTCTTAATATTCATTGGCTATTTATTATTGCACTGTATATAGAGGATATAAAGATGGATGAGCTGTAGACATTGCCCCCGAGGAACTCCTGGTCCAGCAGGATAGATACAGTGTGCATGCGGATGACTATAAGTGGAGGTCACCATGTTTGAAATGCCAGCAAAATGGCACGACAAAGTACCATGGGAGCTCAGAGGGGGATGCAATTAGTGCTGGTGGCAGCGGTCCAAGAAACTTGGAGGCTTGAGAAAAATGGGCAGAACTTGGGGAAGCAGAGGTATTCCACATGAATAGGAAAGCAGGACCGTACAGCTCCTCTGCTTCCTATAATAACAGGTACCCTTCTGTCTTTCTCTTTTAGATGAAAAGTATATTCTGTATGATTTTTCTGTCACCTCTGTAAGTACTGTTACTGAGGAGCACACATTGTGCGTCCTTTTCTGTGATTGCTTCTTGAGTTTTTGGTTTGCTGTGATGCTTGGCGATGTGGAACAGAGACAGGGCTTGTGACAATCCCAGAAAAAATTAGAGTTAAAATGATAGTTTTTAATCTATGTTAGATATATAAATAAGTTTATCAAATATCAGTATGACTTCAGTGAAGAACTTGGATTTTTCTGGAAAAAAAATTCTTACCTCTGAATCTGATAGGATGAGTCCTAGCTTCGGGGATGTGTACTTGGTGGGGTGCAAGCATGTGTGGGATGTAGGTAGGGGCATGGGGCCTGTTCGAGGTTCTTCCATAATGGTCCTCTTTTCCAGCCCCTAAAACTTGGGCACAGGTATTAAGTGGTGGTTTTCAGAGGTTGGAAGATACAGAAAGATACAGAACATTACTTGCCTCATCTCTCTCCCGAGGGGAACAAGAGGAAGAAAGGCAGTGATGGTAGCAGGTCATATGAGAATTCTAGTTGGATTCTCTTAGAAGTCTGTGCATGGGTAGGGATTTCTTTTTTCTTTTCTTTTCTTTGTAATGGTTATTTATTTTTGAGAGACAGATCATGAGCAGGAGAGGGGCAGAAAGAGAGGAAGACACAGAATCCAAAGCAGGCTCCAGGCTCTGAGCTATCAGCAGAGAGCCTGACCCAGGGCTTGAACCCATGACCCATGAGATCATGACCTGGGCTGAAGTTGGACGCTTAACTGACTGAACCACCCAGATCCCCCTATGGATCATGCTTTTTGGTGTCCACTCTAAGGACTCTTTGTATCCCTAGATCTTGAATATTTTCTCCTGTATTTTTTTCCCTAAAAATTTGAGTTTTACCTTTAAGTCTGTGAACTGCCTTGAGTTAATTTTTTTAATGTTTATTTATTTTTGAGAGATAGAGACACACAGACAGAACGCAAGTGGGGGAGGGGCAGAGAGAGAGGGAGACACAGAATCCAAAGGAGGCTCCAGGCTCTGAGCTGTCAGCACAGAGCCTGACACGGGGCTTGAACTCACAAACTGTGAGATCGTGACCTGAGCCAAAGTCGGATGCTCAACAGACTGAGCGACCCAGGTGCCCCTGCTTTGAGTTGATTATTATCAAGATGTGAGATTTAGGTACAGGTTCTCCTTGGGGCCTCTGGATGGCCCACTGCTCCAGCACCATTTGTTGAAAAGGCTCCCTTTTCTCCATTGCATTGTTTTTACACCTTTGCAAAAAATCATTTGTGGGTTGCCTAGTCTTTTTAAACATCAAAGTGTCCCCGTTTTTTTTTTTTTCTTCAGTCTTTAGTCCCACCTTGGTTAGAGGTCAACTACATCACTTTGAACTGTGGCTCCCCAGGTAGGTGGTCTGCCTCCCTTGGCCTCAGTCTTCTCATCTGAAGAATGGGGCTCACGGTGGCTTTAGCCTCATAGCTTCCTGTCAGAATTCAATGAGATGCTTAGTACCGTGCCTGGCACACAGTAAGGGTTCAGAAATTTCAGCTCTTATTATCATTAAAATGAAAAGAAAGAGTCGTCTAGTCCCTCTTTGAGTGTACGTGTATGTCTTCACCTTTGTGTGCCCACAAGTCTCTATGCATAATCATGTCTTTTTGTCTGTTTTATGAGTACCCATAGTGTCACTTGGAAATTCTGTGATGTCCAGAATGTATTTCCTGAGTGATAGAATCGATGAATAATCAGTGAACCCAAACAAACATGAAATGTTACTGAAAGATTGAAGACTGTTAAGAGTCTGGGTTAACAAATTCCCTGGGGATGATCACCAGGCACCAATTAGAACTCCAGAGATAGGGGAGCCTGGGTGGCTCAGTAGGATAAGCGTCCAACTCTTGGTTTCGGCTCAGGTCATGATCTCACAGTTCTTGAGTTTGAGCCCTGCTTGGGGCTCTGCACCGACCGTGCACAGCCTGATTGGGATTCTCTCTCTCCCTCTCTTTCCCTCTCTCTCTGCTCCTCCTGTGTGTTCTTTCTCTTTCAAAAATAAGTAAATAAACTTAAAAAAAAGAACTTCAGAGATAAAGGACATAGCTTAGATGTCAGCAAGAAAATTGTTGAGTGGTATTTGGTGATGTACCGGGTTTCTAAGTAGATGTGTGTTGTTTCTTTTTTTTTTTTTTTCCAGAACCATCTACAGGCAAAGGTTATAAATAATAACTATACGGACCCCAACAACCTCACGTTTACAGATATCATAATCTTGGGAATGGACAAGCAACCTATGAATTTCACTATTTCATTGAAGAATTCTTACAGGTCCATTTTAAATGTTACCTACAATGTTTCATCAAAGGTACGAGATTGTTCCCTCCTTTCAGGGCCCTGATCGAAAGCCCCGGCCTAAGGTTCTTACAGACTGCTCTCCCTTGCTCTTTTGACCTTCAGCAGTTACTGGCTCACTGTAAAATCTATGCCATCACAGGGAAGTTGCTGAAGGAGAATCATATGCATGCTCAATATGGACTCCTGAGCTTTCTTTGCATTACAATACTGCAGAAGGCAGAGAAGGCAGTTCTTCTCTGGGCAGATTTAAAACTAGACCTGCTGATCCCAGATGTGATGTGGTCAAAATATGATTCAATACTTTGGCCTAGCCCTGGAGAGTATTCACACATTTGTCCTCCCATTTGAGTTAAAGACTCTCTTTGCTTCAGACACAAAGATATAGGTGTAAAAGGTATAAAAGGTATAAAGGTATAAAAGACACGCTAATTTTATACCATCATAGAAAATGAGAGTTGAATAAAATACAAGGGGTAATCCAGTTCTGCCCTTCTTGAAGGAGTCCCTTACATGATAATCTCTGACAAAAGATTCCAATTGTTAGTTGAGTATTTCAAGCACCAGAAAATCCACTGTTTCTTAGGCAGCCCCCTTCCATTTTGACAATGCATATAGCTAACAGTACGAGCCTGGTTTCTCGAATGAGGCAAGATGGGGTTCCAGTCTTAGCTCCACTGCCCCCTACCTGTGAGATCTTGGGCAAAGAAAGCATTAAGCCCCTCTACACCTCATTTTTGATCTTGTAAGACGGAGGTAGCCGTAGTATTTGCAGCATAGCATCACCTTCTAGGATTGATAGAAATAATGCATACAAAGTGGTTGTCATGGTGCTTGGCCCATATAAATGCTCAGTGTAGTTTTAGTTTGTGTGATTACTGCCATCATTATTAAAATGTATGCACACCACACCCAGGGGGCAAAGTCTGAAAAAGACAGCCCTGCCTGTGATCTGTGCAGCCCTTCCCATTCAGTATCCCACAGTGACTCCACGAGGTGAGAAAGGTCAGGAATAAGCCAAGTCCATTTTCCTGACGGGGAGGTCAAAAGCCCCAGAGGGTAAAAGCTAATGTTCCAAATATCCCATGACAAAGTGGTGTTGGATGAACTGGTATTGAATGAAGATCATCAGGGAAGGCCGTTATCCAGGTGGCTCAACCTCACCTCGTTTGTCACCACAGCCTCCTTTCTCCTCCCTCAGGTGGTGAAGATTACTGATCTCAAGGGACTGGTACTTGGACAAGGATTCTCCATTAAATGGGAACTTCCAGTCAGTGACCTGGAGAAATTCAACTGCTACCCTGATGAGCCCCCCCTCACTCTGGAGCATTGCAGGAAGCGGGGCTGCCTCTGGGAGGTAATGATCTGGAACACATCACCACAGTGAGCGGGAAGTTGTAAAAACTGCCCCACGAGTAATTAGACACCTAGAAAACACTTTCCGAATGATGATGGGTTGAACCGTAATCATCCTTCAGAAGGAAACTGACACTCTGTCAACCGATGAATTATTTTGCCAATTCTGTGTGATAGGTGACCAGTGTTTTCCTCAGATATCCTGAATCCAAATATACTTATTGCCACTCTGGCTGTCTCTTTCCTCCAACCACAGCATTAAAAACCCCACTTTTATTTTAAATACATCCATGATACATTGGGTATGCATCGTGTATGGAGTCTTTTAAGCGATTCTTTCCCATCTATGAGCGGGTCCATGCAGGAAGGTAAGACTGTTTCTCATCACTTGAAAAACAGAGAGAATGAAAGTCAGAGAAAATAAGTGATTACCCCAAGATCACAATGGGGGCCGTGAGGGCAGTGGGGGGTGGAACCCTGCCTGAGATTCCAGTCTCCAGATCAGGCTTTCTGCTGACACTTCCCTGTTCACCCAGGGGAGGAAGCCAATGGGCATGTATTTTTAAATGGGTGTATTCATTTGCTGGTGCTGTCATAACAAAGTACTACACACTGGGTGACTTAGAACAACATAAATTTGTTATCTCAGACTCCAGGGAGCTAGAAATCTGAGATCAAGATGTCAGTAAATATGGGTCCCTCTGAGAGAAGGGAGGGAGACTCTGTCCTATGCCTCTCTCCCAGCTTCTGGTGGTTGTCTGGCACTCTCTGGTCTTCCTTGGTTTATAAAAAAACATCGCCCTTGATCTCTGCCTTCATCCTTACATGGCATTCTCACTGGGGGCAGGTCTGTGTCCAAATGTCCCCTTTTAATAAGGACACCAGTCATCTTGAATTAGGCCTATTCTAATGATCTCATTTAACCTGATCATCTGCAAAGACCCTATTTCCAAATAAGGTCACTCTAACAGATACCAGGGTAGGACTTCATATCTTTGGTGGGGTAGGGGGGCGCATAACTCAACCCATAATAATGGGCATGGTGTAAGAGACTCAGGCCGTGTGAACCAACTTCCTTGGTAATTAGGTCCTTGAAGTGCGGGTGTTAGAGGCTGATGGAGAATTTCTCCTCTTATTCAGGACACAACTGTTCCTGGTGTGCCTACCTGTTACTATGACACCATCCCTAATTATGCTGCCAGTAACATTCAGTACCTGCCCACGGGCATCACCACAGACCTCACCCACCTGATGACCCCTGAATCAACTCGAGCAGCCACTGCTGCTGGTTCTCTTTCTGCAACGATCAGCTTCCTCCGCCTGAGTGTCATCTACCACACAGAAAACATGCTGCAGTTCAAGGTAATTTTCAAGGCGTTGCAGGTTCTGATCCTCAACATGGAATTCTTACAGCTCCATATGGATGAAAGTCACTGAAACATCTTCGTGTCCAAATCCCTCATTTTACGGACAAAGGCACGGCAGCCCAGGGAAGTAAATGTCAGAGAGCCAGGAGGATGGTGGACCCAGGACATAACCTTGGATCCACCAGGGTTGTGAATTTCCTGCACCGCTGAGTGCTCGGGCATAAGCATCCTCAAAGGACCATTACTCAGCCCTGTGAAAAACGTGTCTGCTCAATGGGAAACTCACATAGTGGCATTAACCCACTTCTACCTTTAGAGTTATTTTTCTAGCAGTGGTTCTTAAACTTCAGAGAGCACCAGAATGACCTACAGGTCTTGTTAAAGCTCAGATTGCTGGGCCCTGCCCACTGGAGTTTCCAGCCCGAGAGGCTGCCTCTCTAACACGTTTCCGGGTGATGCTGATGCTGCGGGTTAAGGGGCCACACTTTTGAGGCCCACAGCTCTGGTCTGATGGAAGTACAGTGTGAACCACATAGATTTCCTGATAGCCACATTCCTAAAATATATTTGAAAAAATATCAAATGAAATTCATTTTAATAGCATTTTGTTGAACCAATATGCTGAAATGTTATCTCACCGTGTAATCCAAATACAATTCTTGAGATATTTTAGGATCTTTTCATCATACTAACTCTTTAAATTTTGGTGTGTATTTTGTACTTATAGTGAGTCTCAGTTCAGACTAGCATATTTCAAGTACGTAATGGCCACAAGTATCTTGTGGATCTGCTGCTTGGTGGGTTAATGAACCAAAGTGGGTTTGCTGCTTGGTGGGTTATAGACAGAAACTATGTCAGGTGGAGTTGCCTCACTAGGGTCATCTTTATGTGTACAAATAGGGAGACCCCAGGGAAGGATTTCCAAAGCCAGGGACTCCCAAACAGGGGTAAGTAGGCTCCTTTCGTTAGGGCTTGGGATGAATATTCAGAGGGGGGTTTTAACATTATAATGAAGCTAAGGTAACTGTCCCCACTGTCTTTTTTTTTTTTTTTAATGCAGGTGTTATTTTTTTATTTTTACATTTTTGTTGCATTGATTTATTAAGTGCATTTACAGACATTATTTATTATTTATTTATTTATTTATTTATTTATTTATTTTAATATGAAATTTATTGTCAAATTTGTTTCCATACAACACCCAGTGCTCATCCCAACAGGTGCCCTCCTCAATACCCATCACCCACCCTCCACTTTCTGATTCATGTGCACAGACCTTTCCTCAAATGTCCCTTTTCCTGTTCCAGCAATCCATTAGTTAATTTCTAAAAGATGAAATTGACAGTTAGGCAGAAGCTTCTAGGGGTTTCCTGAGTTCAGTGAGTCAATCCTGAATTCAGGGAGTCACAGGGTCTCGCTGGTGACAATACCGCCTTAGACAGCTCTTCTCTAGAAATTGTTTTTCACACTGTAATATTGCATGAATCACCCTGAGATCTTGTAGAAATGAAGATTCAGATTCAAAAGGGGAATGGGAGGGAGGCCTGAGATTCTGCATTCCTAACAAGACTGCAGGTTATACTGCTGCTTTGGGTCTGAGAAACACAATTTTGAGAAACAAGGCTATAGACAAAACTTGTCTTAAGTGTCTGAAGTTCAGCCATTAAGATCTGAGTCCACGTTAGAGAAAACTCAGTTCTCTATTTCTAAAATATACTCACATGCCCAAACGTCATCTCATACCTTTACATGCACATTCATATTCACATTCTCATACACACACACACACACACACACACACACACACACACACACACATTCTTTTTTTTTTAATTTTTTTTTTCAATGTTTATTTATTTTTGGGACAGAGAGAGACAGAGCATGAATGGGGGAGGGGCAGAGAGAGAGGGAGACACAGAATCGGAAACAGGCTCCAGGCTCTGAGCCATCAGCCCAGAGCCCGACGCGGGGCTCGAACTCACAGACCGCGAGATCGTGACCTGGCTGAAGTCGGACGCTTAACCGACTGCGCCACCCAGGCGCCCCCACACACACATATTCTATCCATGAAATTCTATGCCCATAATTCACAAACTATTTAGAGAAAGTGCCCTCCCTGCCTTTGAATAGGTATTTCTAGGAGCATTTTGAGTTCAGGATCCATATCGGGCACTGTAGGTGGGGAGGCTTCACATCTATTTGCTTTGGGATATTTGATGCCTCCCCATGTGATTCAAACTGGCCAGAAAACATGGGAAATGAATTATATGAGCTGGCATGAGGGATTTTAGGTCTAAGATTATTCCATCAGAAAGTTTCTTTCTCTCTTGTCAGATCTTTGATGCCACTAACAAAAGGTACGAGGTCCCAGTGCCTCTGAACACACCTCGCTCTCCTGTTGGCTCCCCTGAAAACCGTCTGTATGATGTCAGGATTCAGAACAATCCTTTTGGGATCCAGATTCGACGAAAAAGCTCCAACACTGTGATGTAAGCAAAATTTATTTAGTTTCATTAAAGTGGTTTTAGATCTAATTATGGTGGTTCTATTTAATGTAGGTGAAATATTAATCTTAGAGATAATGTAAGTGTGTGTGTGTGTTTGTGTGTGTGTGTTAAACAGGGAATTGATCTATTACTCCATTTTCTATTAGGCACTAACTCAAAAAGAAAAATGAACCAGAGGTTTAAAATAGGTGTTGCCTGATTTCAGAAAAAGAAAAATGCATGTTCTACTCATTGTTTGTGTTAAGGAGAAAAGAAAGCTGTATTTAATAAGCACAACAGGGGCATTTGGGTGACTCAGTCAGTTGAGCATCTGACTCTCGATTTTGGCTCAGGTCATGATCTCAGGGTCATGGGACCAAGCCCCATGTCAGGCTCCACGCTCAGCGTGGATTCTCTCTTTCTCTCTCTCTCTCTTTCTCTCTCTGTGTCCCTCTACCCTTCTCCCCTGCTCACCCACTCTCTCTCTCTAAAAAGGAAAAAAATGCATGACAGATAACCTAGGACAGAAGTCAACTCTATACACACTCATTTCAAAATAACAGAAGACTCAATGAGAGAGGGAAAAGTTTACTAAGGAAAGACACACCACTTCTTACAATTTTCTCTTCTACCAGTGCTGTAGACTTAAAGCATTTTCACAATGTTAAACATGAAAAGAGTTCTCATCTTTCATCCCTTGTCTTGCTGCTTAATGGAATGGAATGAAGGTCTGGATTTTGCCTGGGACCAAAGTTCCCCATCCTAGTAAATATCATCACCTGTGTATGCACATGTGGACAGCCTTTGCTCTTTGACTGTGTGCCTAACTTTTGTCAGTTGGCTTCTTTGCTAAGAAGTCCTTTGGCCAATCCAGAAAAGTTTTTCTCTTTCTTTTATTTTTCTTCTTTTTTAAAATATTTATTTATTTTTGAGAGAGAGAGAGAGAGAGAGAGAAACAGGGTGTGAGCAGGGGAGGAACAGAGAGAGAGGGAGACACAGAATCCAAAGCAGGCTCCAGGCTCTGAACTGTCAGCACAGAGCCCGATGCAGGGCTTGAACCCACAAACTGATATCATGACCTGAACCGAAGCCGGACACTTAACCGACTGAGCCATCCAGGTGCCCCCAGAAAAGTTTTTCTAAGAGCTTCACACTTTTCTGTTGGTAAATTTGCTTAGACCTTGTTCGTTTATTCATACATGTATTCAAACTAATACTCTGAACAATGACAACTAAAGAGATGAACGAGACACAGTCCTTGCCTTAAAGGAGCTCATGATCCAGAAAAGGAGTTCTCAGCCTTGCAAATCACAGATAAAAAATGCAAACGTGGAACCTTGGTAGTGAGTACTTGGACCAGGATCCACACATGCCTTCATTCAGGAGGCTTCTGAATCAGCTAGAATTTCCGAACACGTCCTGTGTTTGCTCTGGGCTGTCATCAGTGTGGTGTTAAGGTATGCCTTTCTGTTGCAGTTGGGACTCTCAGCTCCCCGGCTTTACTTTCAATGACACGTTCCTCTCCATTTCGACTCGCCTCCCCTCTCAGTACCTCTACGGCTTTGGGGAGACTGAGCACACAGCCTTCAGGAGAAATATGAGCTGGAACATGTGGGGAATGTTCGCTCGTGATGAGCCACCCGCGGTAAGCATGGAAGAATAAGATGATCAATCCGTTTCTCTTGGTACATTTTAATCCACTAGCACCCTATGAATCAGCCTCACCTTATACTGATCAATTCTGTTCTCAGGTGAACTAGGCCACATGTTATGCTCTTCTGTCCCTAAAAGACACCCATATTCTTTTCCCACAGACTATGGATTTTACTTCATAAACTTTTATTTAGTGTGTTCTATGTGTCAGGTACATAGAGACACTGTCTGTTCCCCAGAAGCTTATAGCCTAGAGAGACAGATGCAGAAATAATGGTAACCCAGTGTAATCAGTGCTTATAACAGAATTATGTAATAATAAACAAGGAGGGAATGGAGGAGGAGGGCACCTAATTTTTTACTTGGGGTGGAAAGGAGGGTTAAGGAAAGCCTTATAAAGGACATGACATGGTGCTCAGTCTTCAATATTGAGTAGAGGTTTGCTGTTTGGATTATGATGTAGAAACAATCCTTTGGATTTTTCTCTCTTTGATTGCTGCCTACTCTCCGCCATGACTCTCCCAGTACAAGAAGAATTCCTATGGCGTCCACCCCTACTACATGGCACTGGAGCAGGATGGCAGTGCCCATGGGGTGCTCCTGCTAAACAGCAACGCCATGGGTAAGACAGAGGCACGTTTCCCATGTACCACCATAAACAGCAGTGGCCATTTTCCTGGGATCTGGAATACCAGTAGAAATAGGGAAATTCAAGGGCAAGGGAAATGGGACAGATAAACTGACCATTCATTCATTCATTCATTCATGACTTATGAAGAGCTCTGGGCCAGGTATTAGGGGTCACATTTTGACCAAATTGCCTGACCTTATTTTACTGTGACAGTTTAACTTCCTTTCACAGAGTGATACAAGATGTTGAGATTAAGGTTATGTTTGGGGTATCTGCAAATCCATCTCTAATTCCACTTCGTGAGAGAAGGCTTTCCAGAGGAGGAGGGACTTAAAGCAAGAGGGAGAGTGAAAAGAGCACATTTTAGGGAAGATTCCCTGTCTGGGTGACGTACACCCCCAAGGACTCCCCGTCTTCTTTGTTTTGTTTTTAACAGATGTATCATTCCAGCCCACTCCTGCCCTGACATACCGCACCACAGGAGGGATTTTGGACTTTTATATGGTTTTGGGGCCAACCCCCGAGCTTGTAACTCAACAGTACACTGAGGTTGGAAGTCATTCTATCCATTAATAAGTCATCAATTGTCTGCTGGGTATTACCATATTCTTAGCATTGAGATAGGCTGAGTTTTGCTATTATGGTCCTTGGGTATTCCTATTACACTACCTATCTTCCCCCAAAGTCAGGTTTTAGTGTTGGGGGTATATAGGCATTCAGATACCCCATGTGTCTCTTAATTATTTGCTGAGTACTCTAAGAATCTCTAAGCAGTAATAATTCCACATGCCAATGGTCATTCCATATTTATTTGACTTTCTTATTTTTCTTGAGGGAGGCCTCTTAGATGGGACAGTGCTCAGTAGAAGTGTTCAAGTTGTATCAAGTATAAGGCTTTTCTTCTCTTTCCCAAAAAGTCTTCTGGACCCATTTTTCTTCTTTATTCTAGTTGATTGGTCGGCCAGCAATGACTCCATACTGGGCCTTGGGATTCCAGCTAAGTCGCTATGGATACAAGAATGATAAGGAGATCTCCCAATTGTATGAGGCAATGATGGCGGCCCAGATTCCCTATGTATGGATCACCCACTCAGCCTGTGGTCTAATTAGTTATGGGGAATTGTGCCTAATTATGGATTGAAAACATCTTCAGAGAAATTACTGTTGACACTTTCAGTGTAAGGAAACTGTAGCTGTGGAGCTAGTCTTATGTGAAATACATTGCTTTTTAAATGTATTTCATGCCACCCTTTTAAATCAAGCATTCAGAATTGAGAGATGCATTAATCCTTCAACAAGTTAGCACTGTGATTGGAGGGTATAGTTACTCACTGTCTTTTGCCAGGAGTATCCTCCAGTAGGCATGGCTGGTCTTAAACCAGAACTTTGGGGACTTCTAAGTGAGTATCATGTCAAGAGTAGTAAGACATTTCTAGATTATACTATGATTGTTCTTGGAGAGGATGGATATAAAGTGCCAATATGAAAGAACGCAGTTAAAACAAGTCTTCGTCTTCTCTAAAGCACGTATATGCATATCGTATAAAGCTAGTCTCCTTCATAAGCCCCAAAAAGGGCAGTCCATTGCTGTCAGCACGCAGAATTCCAAAGACAGCATGCCCTTTCTCCTCCATAATCATCAGTTTCTCATCACTCATGCTCTTTTTCTGCTTTCAGTCCACCTCTTGAGAGTTTAGAGGACAATTAATGACTGGAGGATGAGAATAAAATCAAGTGTTATGATGTTCTCATCAAAGATAATTTGAAACATTCATCCAGCCTTAAGTGTTTTCTTTTTATATACTACTCTTCCATAAATTTATTAAATGTAAATCAGAAAGGGGAGGAAAATTAAAAGATGAAAAAAGTCCAGAGATCTACCTCACCAAGGTGATCAGTGTTAATAATATATATGTCAATTCATTGTTTTCCAAGCTTTGGCTTATGCACAAGTCTCTGCTCCCTCAAACAAGTTTTACTTAGAGTCTTAAGGGTGATTTTCATCTTCATACAAAAAGAAACATCTCTTTTTTTCAACTAGGTATTAACTGCTTTAGCCATCATCCCACAATCCTGGATTGATTAACTTTCATGTACAGAAGCCAGGTTTGGTAGTGTATAGAGAAAAAGGAAGATAAGGTTCTCATCTCAAGGACCATCCAGTCAAACAGGATGGCAGAAATATACACATTCAAGGAAGCTATACAATAATGTAATTCTAAATGTGAACAAATTCAATCAGGTTTACCAGAGGGTGAGAAATAGATACAGTTTTTTCTGTTTCTCAGAGAAGCCCTGCTTTCTACCCTTGAACATTCAACTAGCACTTGGTTTGATAGGCTCACTGAGTTTGAAGTTTGAAAAGTGGTAACAACATGAATGGAAGGAAGGAAAGGAGAGGAAATTCCAGCTGGGGGAACAGGAGAAAGATGGGGACAGGTGATCTGTAGGTAGGAATCAGAAAGCAATCTCAATCATCAGAATTGAAAAGTCAGTGTAGGGGAGTATGGGATAAAGTAGGAGGGGCCCAAGCTGGGGTTGGCAGGATGGTTTGTGTGCCCTGAGGCATACCGCCACAGGAGCCCCAGTGTCTTGCTTGCTCCTTCCTGTAGGATGTCCAGCATGTAGACATCGATTACATGGACCGGAAGCTGGACTTCACTCTCAGCCCCAGCTTCCAAAACCTCGGTCTCTTGATTGACCAAATGAAGAAAAATGGCATGAGATTTGTTCTCATTCTGGTAGGTATTTAGAAGACTAGAGCCCATTTTCTGTTTCTGTGCTCATGAGTTTAAAATAGAACCATTGAGGGAAACTAGATAAAGAGTAACGCAAGACCTCCCTGCACATTTTTCGCAACTTTCTGTGAAACTCTCATTATATTTTTTAAAGTTTTAGAAAGCAAGGGCACCTGGGTGGCTCAGCTGGTTAAGTGTCCGATTCTGGGTTTCAGCTCAGGTCATGATCTCACGCTTCATGTGTTGGAGCCCCGCATCAGGCTCTGCGCTGACAGTGAGGAGCCTGCTGGGGCTTCTCTCTCTCTCCCTCTCTCTCTCTGCCCCTCCCCATCTCCCTCTCTTTCTCTCTCAAAATAAATAAATAAACTTAAAATAAAATTAAGTTTTAAAAAGCAGATAAACAAAGGACAGAACAAATGAAGAATGGCTTTCAAAAGGTGATGCTTTGCAATATTTATTTTTCATAACTGAGTGCCACTGGGATGTAATTTATTATGATGATTCTCTTGGTAGAGTTAGAACCGTGGATCGATAACAATGAATATAGCAACAATACCCCGAAATCCTCACTGTTTCAGGCTGTGCCTCAGAGGGAACAGCTATATCCTAGGCTTATCCTTCCCTTAGGAGGTTCAAAAACCCCTCCAGTTGTATCATTACCCAGCAGTGGTGAGGCTCAGGGGACTTATTTCTTCTTAACAAACCTCACAAATAACTGACCTAAGATCCAGAACATAAATTTATTATTTTGCGTTGGAAGCTGTATCTTGATAAACACAGAAGTAGTTATCTGCAAATGATCCTCCCTTCTGGCATCCAAAAAATAGAGGATTATTTGCTGACTTTTATTCATTCTCTCATTCATTCAAGTATGAATTAAATACTGGTCTTTGAAAATCACTTCTACAAAGCATGTGTGTGTGTGTATGTGTGTGTATAATCTAAATTAATGATGATATCCTTTTTCTTACAGGGCTTTTATTCTATTGAACAGAGATGGCCAATAAATAAACAATAAAGAAAAATAATTTCAAAAAGTGATAATTTATATGACAATTGTGAAATAGGGTACTATAGAGTAAGTGAGGCAGGTATGGGATGAGGTGAACAGGGAAGCCACTTTTGATACACAGGTTGGGCCATGGAGACATGGCATGACATGACATGACATGACATGACATGACATGACATAAGAAAGGAGCTTCATGGTCTGAAGGAATATTGATATTATACTGTAGAAGCACAATGAATTGGCTTTCTTCACATGAAGGTAATGTCTTATTAACCTGGTTTGTCTCCAGGAATGTTTTCAGATAGCATACTTTATTCCTCAGTAATTTTGTAGACATAAGGCAAATTATCTATGGGTATCTTGGTTTTGTTTGTTGTCTTGGAGATGTGTTCCTCATGCTTGCTGTTTTAAACCCTTTCACTGCAGGACCCAGCCATTTCTGGCAACGAGACCCATTATCCCACATTCAAGAGAGGGCAGGAAAACAACGTATTCATCAAATGGCCTGATAACAATGAAATCGTCTGGGGAAAGGTAAGCCTTGGGAGAAGATGCCCATAATTAATTGGCACCAGAATGTCTTGATTGAAAGAGGCCATCAATAAGTCTTGGAGATATATATTGGGTAATTGATAAATTATGAATGCATAGACGTTTGCCTGATGCTGATTAATAAGACCAAGGTTACAGGTCTGATTGTCTAAAATATCAGTGAGCTTTGTTTTATTGTCTGGAAATATTCTGGTGCTCCACTCCTTATATATTCCAGCTGGTCATGTAACAAACCTAAAGAATTCCTCTGAGAATGGCTCTGAAATCTGTGTCTGGTAGTAATCCACACTCAAAACTTGCATTCATCTTTAACCTATGCTCCTTAACATCCTCCATATCTAAATAAACCATTAAGTCCTATGGATTTTCCTCTTCTTCTTGTCTTCCTTAGTTCCTTTTTGTGACTCAATCCTCATCTGTTTGATTTATAGCAACAGGATTTTAGATGAACTTCCTGACCCTGGCTGACAGTGGCTCTCAGCCGGGATTCAGACTCTGCTCTGTAACTGTACTGTGCTACTTCCTGTTGTGTTAGGTCCAGGCCATGTTTACTGCGTCTTTGGATGTTGCCTTCTCAGCTTACCTAGATTATATCTGCACTTCAAGACCAAGTCAAATTACCCTCCTATGAAGCATTCAGTGACCAGTTTCGCTCTCCCTATTGCTTCCCTTTTCTATATTGTTTTTCTCAGAGAGTATAGCATGTAACACAGCATGCCTGTTTTATCTGTGGACTCTTAGAAAACAAGGACTATTTCTTACTTAAGTCTCAGTAGATACAGATTGTAGTAGAGTGCCTGTCACATAGTAAGTGCTCAGTAAGTGTCTGATGAATGAATGAATGAATGAATGAATCACTTATATAGTTAATGTCCTTCTAGTTAAAGATGCAAGTGGTTAAAACTATGGATTTTTTAATGCTACGTATATTAGAGGTCCCCAATAAGTTACGATGCTGCTTAAGATTCCTGAGGCTAAGTTTATGGGTTGTAAATGGAAATCAACCCTATTTCTTTAGAGTTTAAATTTGTTAATTTGTTATTTATAAATTTTTTATTTATAAAGATAATTTTGTTATATGTCTATGACAGACAGCAAAGCGATCATTTGAAAGGTGATTGTTCAACAGATATATGCTTTATGAATATACTTTATTGTCAGATTGGCTTACATACAACACCCAGTGCTCATCCCAACAAGTGCCCTCCTCCCTGCCCATCACCCATTTTCCCCTACCCGCCACCCCCATCTATCCTCAGTTTGTTCTCTGTCTTTAAGAGTCTCTTGCGGTTTCCCCCCCTCCCTCTCTGTTTGTAACTATATTTTCCCCTTCCCTTCCCCCATGGCCTTCTGTTAAGTTTCTCAAGATCCACATGTGAGTGAAAACATATGATATCTGTCCTTCTCTGACTGACTTATTTCACTCAGCGTAATACCTTCCAGTTCCATTCACATTGCTGCAAATGGCATGATTTCATTCTTTCTCATTGCCAAGTAGTATTCCATTTAAAACAGATTTAGTTTATTTTATTTTTGAACTTAATGAGTTTGAAGACTTATGGAATGAGTCAAGGGACCCCAGCCTATTTCCCTCCAACAGAATTCCATATATTCAGATCTTACAATTTAATTAATGACAAAGATCTCCAAGAATTATATGGAGAAGCATGTCAATGGAGTCTAACACATGAATCATCTCATGGTCCATATGCAATGCCTTGTGCAGGTTTTAATTTTTTTTCTTTTTCTCTAGGTTTGGCCAGATTTGCCCAATGTGAATGTGGATGCCACCCTTGACCATGAAACTCAGGTTAAGGTATAGTTATATGCAGATTTTTGTTCACATTGCCCTAAACATCTGGATCCTTCTGAGTTTTATTCCAGTGCTTGGTTAAGGCAGCTCCTTGAGCATGGTTGTCAGCTGGTAATTTATTGGTAGAAGGAGATCCTCAAACAGAAAGCACAATAAACAACTTATCTGGAAATATGGAGAAGGAAATCAAATGAAATATCTTCATGTGTGTGCCTGTAACGGGTTGCATTTTGTTTAAATCCAATGTTGTCTGAAAAACAATGAACGAAAGTCCAGAATATTTTCACTGGGGAGGTTATGAGTGCACTGGCTTTTTAATGAATTGTCTACATCTGAAAAAAATGTGCCTGTCAGTTTGAAGGAGTAGTGGTTTTGATCTCAGTAGTTGCTGCCATATCAGCCTGCGCATCTAGCATCCCCTTCACTCTGCAGCTCACTTTTCCCTGGATGACTGGTCCCCTTTATTTGGCCAGTGTCGGAAAAACATTTGTGTTTCCAAAGTCCGATCATTTATACACAGTCATTTAATTTTCCAACTCATATGATTAAAGGCCCAGTCATAAAAGCAAATCTCACATTTAAAGGGGATTTAAGACTATGTAACCTCCTTCTAGAAGAATTAAGAATGCAATCAGCCTTCTCTGATCTTTTTGTGCTCACAGTAAACTCTGTAGCAGTAACAGCAGAGCTGAGGTTAGGTCAGACCCTGAGTGGGGCATTGTCTTGCACAAGTACCTGCTCATCCCCCCTTCCTTGTCCCCAGACTCCCCTTCCCAGACAGGTGAACACCCAACCATGTGTTACTCTTACAGCTGTACAGAGCCTACGTTGCTTTTCCTGACTTCTTACGTGATAGCACAGCTGCATGGTGGAAGAAGGAAATACAGGAGCTCTATGTGAACCCTCAAGAGCCAAAGAAGAGCTTGAAGTTTGATGGATTGTGGATTGTAAGTACCCCTTAGTGGTTTTTCTTTGGAAATGCTATCAGTCAAACCATGGAGAGGCAATTTCAAGACTTGCAAAGCAGGGAGCTAAGGGTGGAAGAATGAGAGGAACACTGTTGCAGAATTGAGGTGCTGGACCCCCAGAGGCAAAGAGATGATTGTGGGTCTTCCCAGAAACATGCTGCAGAAGCTGGAGCCCATAGAAGAAATGTCCCACTACTGGAGATGCTGCCAGAGAAAGAGGGAGAGGGATAAATACCCCAGCTTCTCTTATCTCCCACCCTCCAGTTGCTGGCCAGTGCCTCCCATTGGCCAAACTATCCAGAAGCTAATGCTAGGGGAGCCCGAGTGTGTGATACAGGGCAGAAATGGGGCCAACAAGGCATGAATCCAAGAGAAAATAGATGCTCGCCATAGTGCTGGTGCAGGATCATCTTTAAAGGCCTCTTGACATGTTTGTTACACGTGTCAGTTGGGCTTAAGAGTAGGGCTTCCTGAAATGTCTCTGGGACATATGGCTATTTGTGTTTTTCTAGGGGTGGGAGGCATATCAGTGTTTCAGTTTCCTTTACCACTGTCCAATGGCCTGAAATCCTGAGCATATTCTAGGCCAGCTGTCAAGAGCTTCATAGGTCTCAGCTAGGCTGAAAGTAGCTCGTTATTCATCCAGAGACAAACATATAAGCCCACTGGCAGCCCTGAGGTTTCTCTGGCCACTACCCTCAGGATAGACAGACACAGAGCAGACACATGAAAGATTAGCCCAAACAGGCAAAGCAAATAGTATAGAGATGTGGGTAGCTCTGAGGAACAGGGAGACTGATTACTTGGGGTATTTGTTTTGCTGGAGGGAAGACATGGCTGGAAAACTCAAAATAGTGAATAGGTCCCCAAATACTTGCCTTTGCCCTTAGTATGGCCTGTTTAAGGTAGTTCACTTTACAAAACTTTAACCTTTCTGCTAACAAAGTAGGCAGTGAACATTCACTTGGGGAATCACTGCTTCTTGCAATTAAGTGATAAATCGTCCCAAGTATGATTTGATTTCCAGCTTTGTTTCTGAGTTATCCACAACTTCTCAGGATTGCATCTACTGCAGAAAGCGAGACAGTCCTCCTCGCGCTTGGTCTCTGCTGGTGTCAGAATTAGTCCAAGCTAGTGGACTAAGAAAGAGGAGGGGAAGATAATGGCAACTATTGGCCACAGATAAGAAGTGAGTGATTCACACATAGGAAAACAAACTTGGGCTTTTTGTGTGGGGAAATGGATCAAGAAATCTATCTTAGGTCATGGATCCAGCATATTCTCCATATTTTTGCCACTATGAAATAATCCTCACAAGTTTAAAAATGCCAGGTAAACTAGGAGTTTGGCAGTCTATCGACACCAGTGTGGATTCTTAGAGTCCTTTTGGGTCAATGTCTTAGAGTAAATAGAGTCCATGAAGTGACTAGCTGAGGGCTTAAATAAGATGTGTTCATCCCCATTAGGTCGGTGTCCTCCAGAGTAAAGACCACACTGCCTCTGACATCACACAATCTTTCTTGTTAACTCATTGCAGGACATGAATGAGCCATCAAACTTTGTGGATGGATCTGTCAGGGGCTGCAGCGATAAAAGTCTTAACAAGCCACCCTATATGCCACGTATGTAAACTGATTACTTCATCGAATTACTTCCCAACTCAAAAACTCTGAAAGTTTTCCTCTTATTGTCAAAGTGAAGCTTAATTTTAGAGACCGATAACACTTGTACACATGACATAAAACCCCAAGTAGAATAACCTTGAACAAGTGTAAATTACTAATCAAGCATAGAAATAATGACATGATGTATTATAAAAGAAACCAAGCAATACGTGATTACATTGATAACTATGAGCTGATTGTTCAAACTTGAACCCACTGCACACACACACACGCGCGCGCACACACACACACACACACACACACACCACAGTCTTTTCATTAAGAGAGTGAAAATCTAGGCTCTGCACTCTTTCTGCCCATGTCCACAGATACTTCATGAAGGACATACCCTAGTAGTCCTGTGGTACAAACAGAAACAGAACATCATAGGACCTGACCCCCAAAGTATCTCAGAACATTGAACCCTCTCACCTTTCGGAAACCCAGGGGAAGGAAGCGACTCACCCTCTTACCAGTAGTTTGTGAGACAAAATTTGTAATCTAAGTTTCTTGAGGTCTGGGTCACTGGTCACTCACCAACTCCTGCCTCCCTTTCTCTCCTCCCTCCCTCCTTCCCTTCCTTTCTTTCTTCCCTCCTTCCTTTTTCTCCTTCCTCCCTTACTATTTGCCTATCAGACAAGTACTAACAAATCAGAAAATTTAGAGATCTTAAGATGGTTGCTTGAAAAGATCCATTCCCTTGAGAATGTTACCATCTAGTGGAAGAAACAATCATAACAACAGAAGAGTTGATTGTGCTGATAAGTGTGCGATTGACAGCACTCTATAAGTATCAGAGGAAAATGAAGCGTGGCTTTCCTAAGTCTATACCCTGTCCTTACCCTTCATTAATTGAAATGTTACAGGATGTTGTTTTTATAGACAAAATAATTCTTGAAATTGGAACTGTCACTGGTAACAAAGTCGTTGATTGAAATGGAGAAATACCGAGACAATGGGCATTTCTAGTGAACGTACAAAGCAAGATGTTTGGGCAGTAACTTGGCATTTCTGTTCAGATTTGGAGTCCAGGGACATGGGCCTTAGCAGCAAGACCCTGTGCATGGAGAGTCAGCAGATCCTGCCAGACGGCTCACGGGTGCGACACTATGATGTGCACAGCCTGTACGGATGGGCCCAGACCAGACCCACCTACGAGTGAGTGTGTTCCTAGAGCAGCTGGCTCAGTAGGAAGAGCATGAGACTCTTGGGATCATAAATTCAGGCCCCACACTGGGTATAGAGATGACTTAAACAAGCTCAAAAAAAAAAAAAAAAAAAGAAAGAAAAGAAAAGAAAAGCCTACCTCAAGTTTCGCCAACTGAAAGCAACGTTAAGGCCTTCTTGGCCACCTTAGATGCCTTAACTCTATGTCTTTAACCCTTTGCCAAGGGGATAAATCTGAGAAGCCACACCTTCAAACTTGGGGAGGTTTCTTAAGACAGCATTACCTTTCACTTCCTGCTTACTCCGGACTTCAAGTTAAGCCAGGAGTGAGTCACTGAAACTTCCTCCTTCCATGGCTCTCTCCTGGGCGTGCACAGAGCTTTGGGCATGTACAGTCTTTTCGATCCCCAGGAATATGTAGGAGTTTTACAAAGTTCTCTATGGTTCTACTTCTCCAGGATTTACTCTAAAACCAGCCAAGCTGTGTTTGTCTTGACTTGAACCACAGCCTGAGTCCCTGTGATGGTGCCAGAAAATTGTTATTGTTTTGGTAAATCCCTCGATTGGGAATTTTTTCTCCCTGCTGAGTTGAGCTCTGAGTCCAATCAAATGGCCACAACACCCTGGGAATAGAGATTTGCCAGGGGGCTGGAAGCTAGAAAACAGTATTAATTGTGCTCTGGGGATAGCGCTTTTAACAGAGCCCCAAAAGAGGTCAGACCTCGGAGGCTGCTGAGGCTGCTGGATTTTGGAGCCACTGAACTAGGGATGGGGTCAGCTGGGAAGAGCCCCAAGTTCAAATGCCACAGACTTCACTGTCTTGCCAAGACTTTATTGTTTTTCTTGGATAGATGATTTTCATTTCTTTCTATGGCTGGTTAATTTCCAGAGTTCTGAAATGGTGACAATCGAGCTTTTTGCCTCAGACACATCTACCCTTCCTCTGTAACCCTGCCTTGTTTCAGGCCTTCACATTATCTGTTGGATATGTGTGTGTGTGTGTGTGTGTGTGTGTGTGTGTGCACGTGTAAGTGCATGTGTGTGTGTCCATCCATGTGCGTGGTTGTTTTGGTGTGAAATATTGGAAGCGACCTAAATGGATGAATCTCCACCACAGTAGCTAGCCTCTCTTCCTGACATCGTTTATTGAATAATTCATCAGTGTCTATTGATTTGCAATGCATTCTTCAGCAAATATGTGGATTGCATTATGTGCGAGGATCTGTTAATAGACTTCCCCTTTTGTTACATTGATTTTTCAGTCTTACACAATTGTTTTTATTTTCTCACTGAGGCTACAGGCTGAAGATCCTCCTTCCTTAGAGAGATATTTGAACATCTTTTGTGCATATCTGTCCTTGTGTGCAAACTTTATCTGACCTAGTGAGGACTAGTGTAGTAGAGAGAATATTACCAAAGAGCTATAGTCATATATATTTTTATTTGGGTCCTAGATCTTCCTCCTTGCTCTTTAAATGTCCTTTGACAAATTGTCTAACTCTGAGCCTCAATTTTCTAACAGTAAAAGGAGGCCAAGGAAACCTTCTTCATGAGGTTGTGAGACCGTGTACATGGGGGTGACCAAGAAAATACCTGGGTTAGAGTAATTGTTCCATAAACACCTGTGTCACCCCTCACCCCACTCCATCCTCCCACCTCTATGTAGACAACTAGTTAATTCAGTTTTTTTAAGAAAGGGAATCCACATTTAGATGATGATAGATCTCCCGTTGTCTTGCCATGACTCTTAGCATCACCTTGAAATAGCAGATGCTTTCAGGGAAGAAGCTTTCTGGCTCCAAATGGAACACCATTGCTGCCTCACACTCCAGGCTGAAGCTACTCTCTGTAATGCAAATGTAATGTAATGCAATGTAAAGTTCCATGACTGTTCCTCCTCAGATTCACCCTCAGTTCACCTCCTTGTTCACCTCCATCCAGAGCCGTGCAGGCGGTGACAGGAAAGCGAGGGGTCGTCATCACCCGCTCCACGTTCCCCTCTTCTGGCCGCTGGGGAGGTCACTGGCTGGGAGACAACACGGCCGCGTGGGACCAGCTGAGGAAGTCTATCATTGGTGAGTGGGCCTCCTCCCGGGGGCCTCTGCTGGCGGGGAGGGCACTGGATCATGTGCTCTGTAGCCGCACTGGTTATGTCTAGTCATGATCCAGGTGGGCAGGGGAAGCAGCAGGAGCGGACTTCCCTCTACGCGGGTGAGAGTGTTAATCCATACCCATCTTTTGGTATTTTCATCATGAGCGGCCTGGGGCTTCCAAATAGGGTATGGAAGAGACAGGTCAAACCTACCCTCCGAAAGAGCTACTTCACCCAACACGGCTGTATCTTCTCATTGCAGGCATGATGGAGTTCAGTCTCTTTGGAATATCTTATGTAAGTTATAGTGGGGCCATTTTTAATTGTTCAGTCAGATGCCAACATGCCTGCAGCCTGCAAAAGTCCCACCTCATGCTCTGGTTTTGCATCGTCTCAGACAGGAGCAGATATTTGTGGGTTCTTTGGAAATGCCGAATATGAGATGTGTCTTCGCTGGATGCAGCTGGGGGCCTTTTACCCATTTTCCAGAAACCACAACACCATCGGGACAAGGGTAAGGCAGAAGTGGATGCCACAGTTTTGTGTCCTCAGATCACAACTTCTCTTTAACCCTCCAAAATATCATACTTATTTGTTGAGGAAAAGTCATAAATCAGCACCTGCGGTTCTTAGAAAATCCACAGAGTTCACAATCCCAGAGTTCTAAGCAATTTTCAAGAATACACTTTTGCTCATCTCTTGGGGGGATTCATGCCTATGAGGAAATAAGGGTTTATAGCTCCCCATGGGGCTAAAAGAAAAGAAACTCACCTTCTTTAGAGAGTTTTTATTTTACTCAAGCCCATTCAAGCTACGTTGGTGGGCACAGAGACCCATCTCTCTAGACCTGTGCAGGGCCAAGGCCACACCTGTGCAGAGGACTTAAGAGTCCACTTAAGAGTGGGAAGCAAGAAGCACTAGTTTAGTAGGACAGTAGAGGCAAGAGAAAGGGCAGGATAGCAATGAAGGGTGAGATTTATGTCACAGACACGTGGGATATGTGCCTGCTGACCCTTTTCTGATACCATTACGATGGCGTAAAGAGTATCTGCCCCGTGTGCCTTTATCTCTTTAGAGACAAGATCCTGTGGCCTGGAATTCAACCTTCGAGATGTACTCAAGAAAAGTCCTTCAGACCAGATACGCCCTGCTGCCTTACCTCTACACTTTGATGCATAAAGCTCATGTTGAGGGCAGCACTGTCGTCCGACCCCTTCTCCATGAGTGAGTACAGCCTGGATCCCCAAGGAGGTTTGGCCTGTCTTGTGAATGGTCTTCTGCAAGAGTCCTAACAGTTTCCCGGATTTTTCATGCTTTGTTTTTGTGTGTTTTTTTTTTTTTAAGGTTTACAAATGACAGAGTGACATGGGATATAGACCGTCAGTTTATGTTGGGTCCTGCTATCTTAATCAGCCCCGTGCTGGAAAGTGTGAGTTTTCCATCAGAGATCAGAAACCCTCAGTCACATAATCTAAAGTACAGGAAGGGCATTTTAAAGATCATTTTGTCCCACTCACTATTTTTGTGGCAAATACCTTTCTAGAACAAATAAAGGAGATCTTTTTCTTTTTTTTTAATATTTATTTATTTATTTATTTATTTATTTATTTATTTATTTAAGAGAGTGCATAAGTGGAAGAAGGGCAGAGAGAGAGAGAGAGGGAGAGAGAGGGAGACACAGAATCTGAAGGAGGTTCCAGGCTCCCAGCTGTCAGCACAGAGCCTGAAGCGGGTCTCAAACCCACGAACCGTGAGGCCATGACCTGAGCCAGAGTCAGACGCCTAACCAACTGAGCCCCAGGAAATCATTTCCTTTCAAAATCTCCATTAATGATAACTTCACAACACCAGCTGATTTTTCAGTCTAGTGTCTTGTTACCCTGCATCTTATAAAGTTTACCTTTTTAAAAAATGTATTTTTCAATGTGTCTGAAGAATTTTCCCAGATCTTTTTTTGACTACACTTCCCAAACTCTTAAAACCATTAATAAAATTACCATTTTTTTAGCCTAAGTTCTACAGAAAGAATTTTTAAAATCAAGATTAAGTTATTAGAATATACAGAACAACGTGTCAATTTTATGTTTCAGAACACTTTTGAGATCCAAGCCTATTTTCCCAGAGCCCGTTGGTATGACTACAGCACGGTAAGAACAAACCCGTTTTGTGAAGAACCAGATTGGTCCATGCTGGCCGGAAGGGCAGCCAGCACTTTCTCCTGGCTTCGAGGCACATAATTTCTAAGGCAATCATTTTCAACCTTTCAACCAAGCAAGGTTTGCTAAAATAAAAGCATCCACAAAAGCATAAATAGGTAAAATCTGACATCCCATATCACACTGACTTCTCTCTTAACTCCGTCCCCACCTTTTCTGGAGAATACAGAGAAAAGAATAGCTTTCCAGAGTTTTTAACAATGCTGAAAATCAGAGATTTTCCTGCTTAGACTTGTGGTTTCTTGCTGACTTTCCAACATGCTGCCTTAGAAAGGAAAAACTTGTACGAAAGCATGCATCTGTTCATTTCATCGATTTATCTGTCATCCTTACCTGCCTATCTTCTCTCTTCTAGGAATCTGGCAATGCATCAACAGGTTACTGGAAAACCCTGGAGGCTCCCCTTGACCACATCAACCTTCATATCAGAGGAGGCTACATCCTGCCTTGGCAAGAGCCTGCAATGAACACTCAGGCCAGGTAAGGAGGAGCAAAGGTGTTGCTGGCCTCACTTTGTCATAATGAGGTAGCCTCACAGGGGGCTGACCACCTTAACCAGGGCTCTGTGGGTAAATAAACCAAGTAACAGACATTTCATTGATTCAATTCTGTAAATGCCTTCTGAGTGGAATCTGGGGGAGGATGCATTCATTCATACAATCAGTCCTGGGGAGAACTTTTACTGTAGCTCTGTGTCCAAGGCCTGGGACAAAAATTTCCTTGAAGGCAGTAGTGTGTGCCTCTTTCCACACTACTAAAAAAGTTGGGAATATTAATGAGCTCTTTGATTTGATGGCAACCCAAGGATGATTCAGTACTCCTTCCAAGGTCTACTTTGGTCAACTCAGGAGAGATTGTATACTTATATTTATGTAGTTTTATTTTTATTTGTGTGTGTGTGTGTGTGTGTGTGTGTTAAATTAAGGAGAACACGTTATGTTAAGAGAGGCAGAGATAAAAAGACCAAGAACCATTCAAAAGGGGAGAAGTGGGGCGCCTGGGTGGCGCAGTCGGTTAAGCGTCCGACTTCAGCCAGGTCACGATCTCGCGCTCCGTGAGTTCGAGCCCCACGTCGGGCTCTGGGCTGATGGCTCAGAGCCTGGAGCCTGTTTCCGATTCTGTGTCTCCCTCTCTCTCTGCCCCTCCCCCGTTCATGCTCTGTCTCTCTCTGTCCCAAAAATAAATAAATGTTGAAAAAAAATTAAAAAAACAAACAAACAAACAAACAAACAAACAAACAAAAGGGGAGAAGTTAGCTCCACCTTGTGGTGTAAATCATGGTTTAACATGAAAGACAGCTTTGAGCTGAGCGTTGAATAAAAAGTAGGATTTGAAAACATGAAGACCGGGAAAGACATATTCTGGGAGTATTCAAGAACCAAAGGTGAAAAGTGAGTTTGGTTTGGGGAAGAGTAAACCATTCAGTTTAATTGGAGCGAAGATAAGGGAGAGAGATGAAAGAAATAAAGTTCAAGCAGGTTAGGACCAGATCCTGGAGGGCTGTAAATGCCAGGACAAGTACTTTGCATTTTATTCTATAGCAATCTGGAAGCTACTGAAGGGTTGTCAGGTGGTTTTCTTCCTAAGGAATTCACATTTTATCCTATTATAATATGTGTGAAAGTAGAGTATGAATATTTCATTTTTAAGTGTCTATTTTTAATTCACACAAAGATCATGAGTAACAAGTTCATATTCATTATTACAAATGAAATCTTTAAGGGATGTGTGGGTGACTCAGTCGGTTGAGCATCTGACTCTTGATTTTGGCTCAGGTCCTGGTCTCGTGGTTTGTCGGATTGGGCTCTGCACCTACAACGCAGCCTGCTTGGGATCTTCTCTCTCCCTCTGTTTCCCTGTCTCTCCTCTGCTTGTGTGTGCGCACGCATGCACCCTCTTTCTCTCCCTCCAAATAAATAAATAAACTTAAAAAAATTAAATCTTTAAGAAATTAAATATTTTGAGATGTATTCAAATTAAAGGACTGATTATACATATTTGGTGTTTATTTACCATAATTATTTATAAGTCTCTACTATAAGGAAACCACCTCAAAATTTCAAACAAATATTTTCTTTTATTAAAATAATTTAAATATGACTGCACTTAATGAAAATTAGTTTGCATATACATCCTTTGAGATGTAATCCATTTCTATTTGCAAAATATATTTACATAGACAAATATCTAAGTACATCTCATTTTAATAGTATTTATGTTTTCATATGTTATATAATATATATTTATGTGTAAAATTTTCAAAAACAAAATTCTTTTTTTCTTAATGTTTATTTTTGAGAGAGAGAGAGAGTGAGCATGAGTGGAGTAAGGGCACAGAGAGAGTGAGACAGAGAATCTGAAGCAGGCTCTAGGCTCCATGCTGTCAGCACAGAGCCCAACGTGGGGCTCGAACCCACAAACTGTGAAATCATGACCTGAGCTGAAGTTGGATGCTTAACCGACTGAGCTACCCAGGTGCCCCACAAAATTCTTTTTAAAACTATCTAGGCAACTTTAATATTTTTTTTAAATTTTTTTTTCAACGTTTATTTATTTTTGGGACAGAGAGAGACAGAGCATGAACGGGGGAGGGGCAGAGAGAGGGAGACACAGAATCGGAAACAGGCTCCAGGCTCTGAGCCATCAGCCCAGAGCCTGACGCGGGGCTCGAACTCACGGACCGCGAGATCGTGACCTGGCTGAAGTCGGACGCTAACCGACTGCGCCACCCAGGCGCCCCAGGCAACTTTAATATTTAAGCAGCATGCAATAAGCTCTTTTGTAAAGAAGATACATTTTTAATTATGAACTATTTTTGATTTTTGAAAGTTGAAGTTATACCACATGTTTCATTAAATTTGTTTTTTTCTATTAGCTTTTAAGTATCTTGTATTTTATCTCATTTTACCTATTTTTAGAACTTTATGTGCAATTTTAATGTATTAAGTTTTTTTTTATTTTGTTGAGTAATATTTTCAACACCATCTGTCCTTCATTCTTACAACCTATAATCTAGAGAAAAAAAAACTCCTTTTTTTCCATAGTCGACAAAAATTTATGGGATTGATTGTTGCTTTGGATGACAATGGGAAAGCTGAAGGCCAGATATTCTGGGACGATGGACAAAGCATTGGTAAGTCTGAGCTTTCCAGGCTCCCCCTACAGCATGCAGAAAAACCATAGCTCAGGATAGAATTGGCATGAACTGGAAATGTTTCTCTAAACCTGTTTCTGCCACTGTTAATAAAGTGAATGTGTTGGGAGAATGCTTGCAATTTTTCCTGCTCTTTATATTACATTGTAATTACTGTAGAACAGTGTATGGTCCCCAGCTTTGAGGTTCAACAACGTGATGTTATGGAGTCAGCCAGGAGTGATCTATCTCTGTAGAACTAACTGCCTTGCTCTGATAAAAGTGTGGATGCAAATATCATCCATTCTCAGTGGGTCACAGACTTGGCTTTGTTATTTGGACCAGCCATCTGTAACCAGACACCCTTTTCCTCCTAAGTAGGTTCACTGAGGAGGCAAATTAGAGCTCAGAAAATTTCTTGGTGTTTCAGAAGTAGGGTATTAAGTACTGTCAAAAAAATGCTTATATCAATGAAATATTACTTTGTATGCCTTCTTTCTCCAATCTAGGGATATGACAGTGCTACCTTAGATAATTAGGGTTTGTCAATATAATCAGAGCATCCTCATCCTTAGACGTTTCTGTAGACATACTGACACGCTGTTACCAACTGATGCCCATTTTCCATTCCTTATTACTGTAGACTAGAACATTCTAATCTTGCAGCGGGTCACAGTTTATGAAATTATGGTTTGTTTTTCAGTAATAATATCCTCCTTTTTGTTTTCTTCATTATGAGGGTAATATATTGTCATTAAAGAAAATATTTTAAAGACAGAAAACTAGAAAAAAGTAATAATATTTTTGCTATATTATTTTATATATTTCTTTTATATCTATTCTTTTATATATATATTTTTTGCTATATTCTTCTATATGCTTTCATGTGACATAAGAAAATGTATAATTTTTTATATCGCTGAAAACATACTGCATATTTAATTTCTGAATCCTGTTTCTTTGCACTTAAAATCATGACAGAAATATGTCTAGATGTTATCATATACTTTTCATAAACACCATTATGATTGCCATATTCCAATGAAAGGATATGCTACAATTTATCTCACTTTCTATAATTGCTCTCTGTATAGGATACAGGATGTTTTCTGTTTTCATTGTTAATCAGCAACATCGAGGATTAACCTTTGTATGTCATATTATTTCCATAGGGTAGATTCCTAGAAGTGAAATTATTTTTTTAATCAACTTGACTGAGCTGTATTTACACAAAATGTATCCATCCCACGTATACAGTTAAATGAGTTTTGACAAATATATACAGTTGTATTGCCACTACCACAGTCAAGATACAGAACATTTTCATAACTTGTAATTTCAAGACCCATTTGCATCTTACCAGTGAACTTCCCCCTCACCCCTGCCCACTCCCAACCTCCAGTTCCAGGCCCTGCAATCACTGATCTGCCTTCTGTCACTATAGATTAGATCTATCTTCTCTAGGTTTTACGTAGATAGAATTATACAGGGCTTATTCTTTTTGTGCTTAGTTTCCTTCACTTAGCAACATGATGTGTGGTCACAAAATGTTTTGCCACATTGTGGCATGTAAAAGTAGCTTATTACCTTTTTGATTCCTGAATAACATTCCACTGTATGGGTATACCAGAATTTGTTTATCCATTTACTAATTGGTGAATATTTAAGTTGTTTTATGTTTTTTACCATTATGCATAAAACTGCCATGATTATTTGAGTATAAGTCATTTTGTAATCCTATGTTTGCATTTTCTTTGGGTGAAAACCTGGAAGTGAAATTGCCAGTCTGGGCCATGTGATAAGCATATATTTAACTTTTGAAGAAACAGCCCTATTATTTTCTAAAATGGCTATACTCCTCCCCCTTACTAACGGCAATATTTCAGGGTTCCAATTTCCCACATCTTCACTAACACTTGGTATTGTCAGTTTTTAAAATCTTAACTCTTTTGGGGCACCTGGGTAGCTCAGTTGGTTAAGCTTCCAACTTCGGTCATGATCTCATGGTTGTGGGTTCAAGTCCCACACTGGGCTCTGTGCTGACAGCTCAGAGCCTGGAGCTGTTTCAGATTCTGTGTCCCCCTCTCTCTCTGCCCCTCCCCTGCTCATGCTCTCTCTCTCTCGCTCTCTCTCTCTCTCTCTCTCTCTCTCAAAAATAAATAAACATTACAAAAAATTTTAATTTTAACTATTTTAGTGGTACATAGTGCATCTCTGCCTGGACTTAATTTGCATTTCCTTGACATTGAACATCTTATGTTTATTGGCTCTTTGTATATCTTCTTATTGAGGTATCATTTCAAGTCCTTTGCCTATTTTTTATTGGGTTATCTTTTTATTATTAAGCTATTTATTATATTTATTATAAGAGTTATGTATACCAGTCTTCTATCAGATACAATTTGCATTGCCCTGTCTATAACTCACCTATACAATTCTTCTATAGCATCTTGCAAAAAACAAACTTTAATTTTTATAAAAGTCCATTTTTTCCATGCTTTTCTTGACAAAAAGATCTATACTTCTTGCGTCTTGGCCTAAAACGTATTCTGGTACCAATTCTAACATGTGGGAGGAGTGTTTCCCCCATGCCAACTAGTAATTCTGGGACATTAACTAGTGTCCTTCAACTCAACACAAATCCTACACTATCTACCTGGAAATAGCATCTGATCCCATAGGTTAAGTGCTCAGTCCCATAAAACCGCCTCCTCCTCCCTCTCCCACTTCACATTCCTCCCACTCCAGATTGGAAGTTCCAACAACTGCTGCTTGGGATTCAGACACCACTTTCAAGTCCACTGTTACCTGTCCTTCAGACCAACTGGCTGTAAATCAGAAGTTTCCACAACCTCCTTCTCAGTTTCAGTTAATTTGCTAGAGCAGCTCCCAGAATTTAGAGAAACATTTTACTTACTAGATTACCAGATTATTATCAAAGAATATAAGCCAGGAACAGCAAGTGGAAGAAATGCATAGGGCAAGGTATGTGGGAAGGGGCTCAGAGCTTCCATGCCCTCTCCAGAGGCAGTATTTTTCCCAGATTTCTACATGCTCACCAATACGGAAGCTCTCCAATCCCCATCCTTCTGGGGTTTTAAGGAGGCTTCGTTATCTTGGCATCATTGTCTACGTTATTGGCCATTGGCGACTGATACCATTTCTAGCTCTTCTGCCCTTGCAAGGGTCTCATGGTGGGGCTGGAAGTTCCAGCCCTCAAATAACAGGGTTGGTTCTCCCGGCAACCAGCCACGACCCTGAGGTGCTTTCCAAAAGTCACCTCCTTAACATGACAAAAGATACTTTGTTTTCATCAGTTAGGAAAAAATCCAAGGGTTTTAAGAGTTCTGTGCCAGAAGAAGACCAAATGCAAATTATACGTCCCAACATCACTTGGTCTAACTCAGGGTTACAGAGACTTTTCTCCCTCCTATATTTTTGAAGATTGACAGTTTTAGCTTTTACATGTAGGACTTTCAGCTATTTTGTATTAAATTCTGTCTGTACATAATGGTGAAGGCTCATTCTCTCCCCCCCCCCCCCGAGTGTTTCCATTTGATCCAGAGCCTTTCCCCTGTTGTATTATCTTGACACTTTTATCAGCTGTGAATAGGTCACGTATGGCTGAAAGTCTATTTTTGGATTATTCTGTTTCACGGATCTGTACGTTTATACTTATGCCAATGCCACGCTGCGTTAACTAATGTGGGTTCAAAATTGTTTTAACAAGTAATAATTAACAAAAACTTGCTAGAATTTTTGCCTGCAATTACACTGATTCTATAAATCAATTGGGGATGTCTACCTATCACTTTTAATTACGTTGGCCTGTTTATCTCACTGTTTTGTAGTTTTCAGTGCATGGGTCTTACACATACTTCGTTAAATATATCGCAAGTATTTCCAAGGTTTTGATAATACTGCAGATGGCACTTTAAATGCCTTCTCGCTGGGGCGCCTGGGTGGCGCAGTCGGTTAAGCGTCCGACTTCAGCCAGGTCACGATCTCGCGGTCCGGGAGTTCGAGCCCCGCGTCAGGCTCTGGGCTGATGGCTCAGAGCCTGGAGCCTGTTTCAGATTCTGTGTCTCCCTCTCTCTCTGCCCCTCCCCCGTTCATGCTCTGTCTCTCTCTGTTCCAAAAATAAATAAACGTTGAAAAAAAAATTTTTTTTTTAAATAAATAAATGCCTTCTCAGTAAATGGATACTTCTTACAGCCTCATACTCATTTAATATAGTATATAAAGAGCTATTTTTCAAATGAGTTGCTCATTTGGAGGTGGAACCTGGCTAAAGAGAGGAATATGAAAGAATTAGATTACTCTTTTTCAAAGTTCAATTTAGTCTTCGATTAGTTCTGTAAAGTTCAATGTGATAAGTAAACTCCATGGAGAGGAACCTGGAATGTGGCATTCCATAGATCTGGATTCAGATACCATTTCAATCATTTACAGGTTGTGTGTCTTTTTTTTTTTAATGTTTATTTTTGAGAGAGAGAGACAGAGAGAGACAGAGCGTGAGTTGGGGAGGGGCAGAGAGAGAGGGAGACAGAGAATCCGAAGCAGTTTCCAGCCTCTGAGCTGTCAGCATAGGGCCTGACTCACAAACCATGAGATCATGACCTGAGCCTAAATCGGACACTTAACGGACTGAGCCACCCAGGCGCCCCAATTGGTTGTATGTCTTTTGGAAAGATGCCTAACATTTCTTTGCCAGCATTTTCTCATCTTTAACATCTAGAAACCTCTGCTTATCATATAGACTTTTTTATGCAGACAAAATGATTTAATGTGTAGAGAGAATTCCTGGCACATGGATACTGAATAAAACATATCATTAATATACAAGGTAAATAAAATTCCAGGATAAGCCTTTAAGATGCATTACATTCAAATCAGTGTGGTTAATGTGACCACAGAAAGTCCATAAGTCAGAGAAAGGAGATTAACCAAGTACCCACTAGATTTTAAGAGAGTTACAGGCTTAAGGCACCTGGGTGACTCATTCCACTGAGCACCCCTCTCTTGATTTTGGCTCAGGTCATGATCCCAGGGTCATGGGTTCGAGCCCCATGTCAGACCCTGAGTGTGGAGTCTGCTTAAGATTCTTTCTCCCTCTGCCCCTCCCCACTGCTTTCATGAGCTCTCTCTCTGTTAAAAAAAAGAAAAGAGAGTTGCAGACTTGAACCTTGTAAGAGAGTAATATGCTACAATGCATGTTTAAATTTAAGAACTGTATTTATTAATGACCTAGAATGTTCCCAATCTTAAACCTATGTGAAGGATGAAATTTTAATCAAGGATTTGTTTGGTGAGTGACAAATTTCAGCAAAAGGAGTTAGTTGCTGTGACGAGGTATTCAACACTGTATCAGTGCCCTCTTGCCAAGGTCACTGCCAACTATTTGCATGCCAGCTGTATGCTTGGGTGATTGGGCAGGGAGCAATTCCATTATCATGGTATGGATCATGGGAAATAAAGTCAGTTTAGAGAATGATGAGAGATAATGAGATTAACTTTGCACACTTGGATTTTGAAATGCCTGTGGAGCCTCCTGGTGGAGCAGGGATTTGGAAAGACTGAGGGACCCACAGAGTGATAGGCCTGGGAGTGTTATGACAAATAGAAATGATACACTGGATTGGATTGATCTGGTAGAAGATTTTTTTTTTAATATATATTTTTAGGGGCACCTGGGTGGCTCAGTCAGTTAAGCATCTGACTTTGGCTCAGGTCATGATCTCACAGTTTGTGTGTTCGAGCCCCATGTCAGACTCTGAACCTGACATCTGCTTCAGATTCTGTGCCTCCCTCTCTCTCTGCCCCTCCCCAGCTCACGTGCGCTCTCTCTCTTTCTCTCAAAAATAAACATTAACATAAATTTTAAATAATATATATATTTTTGTAAAAAAAGTAATACCCTTTTTTTGTTGTTTTTGGGCCTTCAACTTTTTTTGGTAATGGCTTTATTGAGATATAATTCACACAGTGTGTAATTTACCCATTTAAAGTGTACAATTCAGTGGTTTTAGTATATTCACCAAGTTGTATAACAATTACACAAGCAATTTTAGAACAATTTATTTACCCACCAAATAAGCCCTCCACCTTTTAAATACCACCCTTCAATCCTTCCCTACCCTGCCTCCATTCTTTCCAGCCCCAGGAAATGCAGTCCTAGGCATTTACTGATCTGTTGCTATACATCTGTGTATGCTAGATATTCCCTATAAATGGAACCATGGAGTCATATAAATGAATAAATGTGGCCTTTTGTTACTGTTTTCTTTCACTTAGCAGAAGTTTTTAAGGTTCCACCATGTCGTAGCATGTATCTATACTTCATTTCTTTTATATGGCTGAATAATAAAACTTTGGATGAAAATACCACATTTTACACATCCATTTATCAGTTGGTAGACGTTTGTGTTGTTTCTACTTTTTCACTATTAGGAAAAATGCTGCTATGAACATCTGTGTGCAAGTTTTTGTATAGACCTACTTTTTTTTCAATTCTCTTGGGTAGATACCTAGTAGTGGAATTTCTAGGCTATACAGTAAGTCTATGTTTACTTTTTTGGAAACTCCCAGATTCTTTTCCAAAGAGGCTGCACCATTTTACTTTCCTTCAGCAGTGCATTAGGGTCCAGTTTCTCCACATTCTTGTCAACACTTACTGTCTTTTTGAGTCTAGTCATCTTCGTGGGTGTGAAGTAATATGTTATTGTGGTTTTGGTTGATTTGCATTTCCCTAATCACTAATTCCATTGAACATCTTTTCATGTACTTACTAGCCATTCACATATCTTCTTTGGAGAAATGTCTGTTAATATCCTGTGTCAATTTTTACAATAGATTGTCTTTTTATTATTGAATTGTAAATGTTTTTATAAAAAAACATTCTAGATACAAGTCCCTTATTAGACATATGATTTGCAAATATTTTCTCTCATCCAGTGGATTGTCTTTTCACTTTGTAGTGTCATTTTGAAGCACAAAAGGTTTTCATTTTGACGAAGTCAAATTTATTTTTTTGTTGCTTGTGCTCTTTGTGGTATACTAAGAAACTATTGCCAAATCCAAGATCAAAAAGATTTACCCTTGTTTTCTTCTAAGAGTTAAATAGTTTAGGGGACACCTGGATGACTCAGTTGGTTAAGCATCAGACTTTGGCTCAGGTCATGATGTCACAGTTCAGGATTCAAGCCCTGCATGAGACTTTCTGCTCTCAGCCAGAGCCCGCTTGGGATCTTCTGTCTCCCTCTAGCTCTCTGCCCCTCCCCCACTCTCAAAAATAAACATTAAAAAAAAAAGAATTTTAAGAGTTTAAGCTCTCACATTTAGATCTTTGATCTATTTTGTGTTGATCTGTGTATATGGTGTGAGGTAGAACCCAAGTTCATTACCTTGCATGTGGATATCCAGTTGTCCCAGCATAATATGTGAAAAGACTATTCTCCATCATGAGTTGTTTTGAGACCCTTAATGAAAATCAACTGATTTTAAATATGAAGATGTGGGGCGCCTGGGTGGCGCAGTCGGTTAAGCGTCCGACTTCAGCCAGGTCACGATCTCGCGGTCCGTGAGTTCGAGCCCCGCGTCAGGCTCTGGGCTGATGGCTCAGAGCCTGGAGCCTGCTTCCGATTCTGTGTCTCCCTCTCTCTCTGCCCCTCCCCCGTTCATGCTCTGTCTCTCTCTGTCCCAAAAATAAATAAACGTTGAAAAAAATATATATATAAATATGAAGATGTATGTATATTTTTTATATATGTGCATATATTTATATTATACATATTAAATATAAATAGAATTATGGACACAGAAATAAATCTTCATCATATTACTGTGTATATTTAAATATACATATACACATAGTTACATATATTTATATATATATATACTATATTTATTCTCATGCCAGTACTACAGTCTTAATTACAGTTGCTTTGAGTAAATTTTGAAATCAGGAAGCAAGAGTTCTCCAACTTTCTTCTTTTTTAAGAAAGTGCATTTTTTTTTTTGAGCAGATTCCTTCAACCTTGGTAGTACTAACATTTGGGGCTAGATAATTCTTTGTTGCTCATGGTGGCATGACTGTTCATTAAAAGATGTATAAGGGCAAGAACAAAACATGAAATGAAACTGTCTTTTAAGAAATAGGAGTTACAGAAGCCACATGAGAAGAATGAATAAAGTAGACCTCTACTAAGGATGATTTCAAGGAGGGGATGTGTGGGGAAAGGTGTAAAAACCTGAATATTGTGAAGAGATATTTAGATTTAATATACTGTGTCACTGGTGACTCTGAAAAGATCAGAATCAGTAAAAAAAAAAATAAAAAACAACATAGGAACTGAAGTGTAGGAGATGTTGGACTGAATTATGAGTTGAGTACACAGACATAACAAACAGAGGCTACCTTTTTTGAGATAAGATGGCACTAAAAAGGAAATGTGGAGATGCGGTTGCTTGATATAGAGTCAAGTAAAAGGGTTTGTCGGAATGGAGTCCTTTGGAGCCTAATTGGAGCCTGGAGGAGCAGAGAGGGTCTGGGGAAGAACTGGTGGAGTAAGTTTTGTAGAGGCAGGAGGGCTTGTGAACTAGAGCACTGTGGTGGGATGATCTAAGAGTAGGGAGAGAAGAATAATGAAGATGCAGATAATGATAGTGAACAATACATTTTGAGCACTTATTCTGCTCATGCAGCAGGCCATGAACTAGGTACTATTATTATCTCCATTTTACAGGTGACAGAATGTTAAGTTACTTGCCTGAGCTTGTACAACAACTAAGTATAAGAGCAGGGATTTGAATCCATGCCAGTCTGACTTGAAAGCCTGAATTCCTCACCACTGTCCTCTGCTTTGAGCCTTTATCATCATAGCCTGTCAACTCTCATGGCTACATGCTTCCTATCTCAGCACAGAAAAGCGATCGCTAGCCTCCATGTTTCCTCATCTGGGGTATCTATCCTGAATTCAACCAAGATTTTCTACTTTTATAACCACTTGACCCATACTTGAAACATCCTCTTATCTGTACATCCCCATGCTACCCTGGGGTGAAATAGTCCCTTGGCTACTATCCTTAGTGTTCCTCAGAGAGGTCATGATTATCCTGATCAGTGACTGTGACCCCGTTGACTGAATGCAACATTATCTGCTATAGTTGAAGCAACGACTAGTCACTTACTCTTTTTTTCTTACTTGCAGATACCTATGAAAATGGAAACTATTTCTTGGCAAACTTTATAGCAGCTCAGGTAAGACTATTTTTATTGAATTTTATAAATCCATTCCCAGTCAGCTGCAGGTTAAGCGTTATCAGTTAACTGTATTGAAATAATACTCTGCCTCTTAGTAGGAGGAACTTCCTTCCTTTACATTTATAAATTAGGTCTGTCGATAACTAATATAAGGATAGTCCTTGTTTTGACAATTAGCCAATAAGCCATCATTCTCTAAAAAGATGCTTGTAATTCATATAATGCTGGTTACAAAATGAGTCCTTAAGTGTACAACATGTTTTCTGGGGATGAAACAGCATTTCTTGGCTAATAATATTTTGCAGGATAAATGCTAGATCAGTTATCTATTGCCTAACAATGGTGTGTAACAAACAACCTCAAAACTTCAGCAGTACGTAACAATACATACTTATTTAGCTCATGAGTTTGTAGTGTTCAGAAGTTCTGGTCAGATGTTATGGGCTGGACCTGCCTGATCTTGGCTGGCTCACATGCATCTGCGCTCAGTTGCAGAACTGTTAGGCTACTAGGGTGATCCTGGCTGTGCTCACTCATACCTGTCAGCTGGCTCTTCGATAGCCTAGGATGGCCTTATGGGCAGGTCTGGGCATGACCTTTTCATGACCTCAGAAGAGGGCAAAAACAGTAGTGGAAATGCTCGAGCACTTTTTAAAATCTCCAATTTGCAGCAAGTTGACTACTGTCCTATTAGCGAGGGAGAGTTACATGGCCAAGCTCAAAGCCAAAGGTGGAATAGAACGCCCCATCCAGAGAGAGGGCATTGCCAAAATTACATAGAAAAGGGTATGAATAGGGAAGGGTGAATAATTAGAGAAATTAATACAACCAATCTACCAGGCATGTTAAATGATCATTCTATGTCAGACCTGGAATTTGCTTCTCTATAATTTTTACCTATTTGCATTTAAGGAATAGTATAACACAAATCTATTGTCTTTTATACATAATACTGCTTCAGGGATTTGAAGATGTCCATTGTGTATACTCTCTGTCTTCTCTCGGAATTATACATCTGCAGGCAAACTTCACACTTCTCCTGTTTTGTGCTTCTATGGGTTTCCAGATCTGATTATTCTGTTTCAACCACAATTAGTCTAGATTCCTCTTAAAACATGGTACCCAGGACTGAGAGAATATCTTATTAGAGCTGCATTAGCCAATATGATAGCTACTAGCCACATGTGACCATTGAGCACTAGAAATGTGACCATCTTAACTTGAAATATTTGAAAGATTGTAAAATACCTCATAAATATTTTTATATTGAATAAATGTTAAAAATAATAACATTTGGGATATATTGGGTTAAATAAAATGTATTTTTAAATCAATTTCTCCTATTTCTTCTTACTTTAAAAATATGTGGCTATGAGAACATTAAAAATTACATATATGGCTCACATTGATTTAGAAGCCCTGGATTTTAGTTCTATTTCTACTGCTAACTAGTTATTTAACCTAGGGAAGGCACTTCCCCTGTTTAATATGTGTTTCTTGATGATAAAACGCCTGTAAATAGTTTCTAACTCTAATATTCCATTCTTCTGTTATTCTAAACAAGGGATAAATAAATTTGTATTTCTCTGTGACACTTGATGGAATTTTTTTCTAAGGATCAGTGACTTGAAATGAAAGAACGCTTCTAACTTTCCCTGTGGGTAATTATCAGTGGTGTTCAGGGGTGCCTGGGTGGTTCAGTCAGTTAAACCTCTGACTCTTGATTTGAGCTCAGGTCATGATCTCACGGTTCATGAGTTCGAGTCCCACATTGGGCTCTGTGCTGACAGCACGGAGTCTGCTTGGGATTCTCTGTCTCCCTTTCTCTCTGCCCGCCCCCCCCCCTGTGCTCGCTCTCTCTCAAAAATAAATAAATAAACTTAAAAAAAATTACCAATGGTGTGCTGGCTGGTACGGGGTTATGCGGGTGTGGGGCTGATTTGTAGCATTTGCTAATTCCTGTGGTGTAAGTACTCCCACCGTTTTAGCCAATTTCAAGCTATCAACTGGCCTGCAAAATTCTAGGCAACTTAATGGTAGGGTCTCTCGAATCAGTAAGTGCCATCTGGCTTCAGCACACCCATTTACTTCAAGTTCTATCCATTTGTCTTAATTTCCCCTTGATTCTGCTTCTGCAATCAGTCTCAAAGTCTTATTAAATTCTCCATAAAGACAATTGAACATATTTTTTTTCTTTCTACTGTTGCCAGTTAAGGAGTTTATACCATCATTCTATTGCCACTATCCCCTTGATTTATTGTATAAAATCTTCATTATCCTATCTTACATTGTAACCAGTCTTATTCCTGTTGGCTCAGCACCAGCTACCGTAGCTGTCGCGCTCAATGAATGTGCCTTTCTTCAACGTGTCCCTGCCCCCATTCCCTTTCTCATTTCACCTTTCTAACTCCATCCATCCTTCCAGGCTTCCTGAAGTTCCATGTCCTTCCTAAGTCCTCTCTTGACCACCCTTTTCCACAGTGATTTCTCCTTTCTCTCAATACCCATGACAAATATTCACTATGATTTTCTTTTTTTTTTTTAATTTAAACTTTAGCTTGTTAACATATAGTGCAATATTGGTTTCAGGAGTAGAATTTAGTGATTCATCACTTAACATATAACACCCAGTGCTCATCCCAACAAGTGCCCTCCTGAATGCCCAATCACCATCTAGCCCACTCCTCACCTACTTCCCTCCATCAACCCTCAGTTTGTTCTCTGTTGTTAAGGGTCTCTTGTGGTTTGTTTCCCTCTCCCTTCTTTTTTTTTTTTTTTTTTTTCATTTAGGCCTTAATCATGCTCTACATTGCCACTTATCTCACATTGGTTTAACCCTTGTGTTGATGCTTAATCAAGTTCATGATTTAGTCAAGTCCGTATATTTGTTGCAAAATGTCCTTAGTCTAGGGACTGTTTGCCATAATTCTTTGTTCACCCTGTGTTAACTCACACAGTACAATGCTCAGAGCCCCATCATGATTCCAAACGTACCTATATCATTTAGCTGCTCACTTCACTCCCAGAGCCTGTTTCCTCATCTGTAAAACTGAGATAATGATGCTTTCTTTTCAAGATCCTTATAAGAATTAGTAACAGTATAGGTAAAATAACTTTCATAATGTTGGCATTATCAAATTTGTTGTAGCAGGTACTCAGGAAGTGTTTCTTCATGAGGTGTTTAAGAATTAAAACAGCAAACCAGCACAACAATACTAATTTGAGGTTTCTTAACATTTTAAAGTGAAGTATAGTCTATCAGCAGACGTATTAAGTATTTTTTTCTTTTTACATATTCTTTATAGAACATACTGCAAATCCAAACCATGCACAATAAGTATTTGAGTGACTCAAATCCACTGAAAGTTGGATATATTAAAATCTGGGGGGTAAACTCTACTTATGTGACACAAGTCACTTTTACTTATGACAACAAGCAATTCATGGAGAAGAATTTCAAGAGTGACCCTTACAATCAGGTATGTCTCAAAGGAATATTATCATATTATAAGTTAAATTTATTATTCTGCCAAATTATCACCACTATTATCATTCTTTTATGTGCTTCTATTTGAAAGGCTATAGAGATATGTGCAATAGTATGTTCATGAAAAATTGTGAGTATCGAATCCTGTTGTGAAATGTGCAACATCGGCAGTCTTCCCAATGTAGTCCAGGGATCAATGTTTAGTAGTCTGATGAAATCCTTTCCATGTGTTTCCCAGGAATGGTGCTATGTGTTAAGTAAAGTTAGCCTCTCGGGCTAGCATCACAAAATTTATTTGCTGCTGTGACAGAGGCTAAAACAAAAGAAGAGTGATCGCATAAAAATTGTTGGAGATTTTCTCCCTTCTTCCTGAAATTACTCCCAGGGAAATTAACCCCTGGTCAAATTGATAGATCTTGAGGTTGGTGAAAATTGGCAGTAAACTGTGGTCATCATCAAAGTGAAAATGTCCCACCTGTGATGTGAGGTAAAATTATTTGGTTAACAAAACGGAGTGACATAAATAGCAGATACTACTAGACCCTCTAGCAGGGTCTGCTGTAGGAGATGCCTATGTGGAAGACAAATTACCAGCAGAGGTGTACCAAGAGTAACCACAGAGGGAAAGGTATCCCACGTTAGAACACTAGACCTGTCCTAAGTATGAACTAGTGACTCTTAGGTGGGATCATTCAGAAGGGAAAATAGGTAAGTATAATTCCTGTTTTCCAAGCAGTGAAAGAGTGACCTGCTAATATCTGGATTTTGGAAAACGCCCCTCTGAACACTCAGATAGCTTCTCTCTCTCTAGTCCTTTCTAATTATCTACTTCAACACATTTTTCCTGGACTATTGTGTTCAAGACCACCCTGGTTAAGACTGATGCAGAAAATTTCTCAACACCTTCTTTTTAGGAAACTTAGTAGCATATCAGATGCCTATTATATGCCAGGCACTTATACTCAGCATTGGGGATGGTGAAACATGAAACCAGCCTGCCTTTGGGAAAGTTAAAATCTAGTGGCAAAGCAATGAGATTTTAATACATGTTGGTTTTTATCAAAGCCTCGAATACTTGAAAGCAATGTGGTTTGGCCTGATGAAGTGGAAAGACACAGATTTCCAGCACAGGGATCATGTACACAACACATCCTTCTGTTTATCTCTCTGGAATCAGTGACCTGGAAAGGAATCTATATCCTTTTATTACTCTCTGGAAAAAGAATGAATACATCTGTTTTTGTTAAATTATAATTTGAAATATGCCTTAAATATAATGTTTAGGTAGTTCTGAAACACCAACTTTATCTCTTATTTTCTGGCAGATACTAACAATTCAATTGACTGACAAGATTATCAACCTGGAAAAACTAACTGAGGTTACCTGGATATACGGTGGCCCTATAATTTCTACTACATCTATGACAAGTACCTTCCCAACAGAGTCTCTACATCCTTCTACAGTTACGACTAAGGCTACCACTTTTGAAACTGTTATCACTAGTTCTGCGAGTACTACTACGACTCTTCCTATCACAACCACTCCTTTCCCAACAAGTACTATGGAAGATACAACAAATACTACTATTACTAATAGCACTACACCATCCTCTACAAGTACCCCTACTGCTAGCACTAGTACTCTTCCTATCACAACCACTCCTTTCTCAATAAGTACTATTGAAATGACAACTAGTACTACCAGTTCTGATCCCACTACACCATCCTCTACAAGTACCTCTGCTCCTAGTCCTAGTACTCTGCCGATCACAACCACTCCTTTCCCAACAAGTACTATTGAAGTGACAACTAGTACCGCTGGTGCTGATACCACTACACCTGCTGCTACAAGTACTACTACTAGTAGTAGTCCTAGTACTCTTCCTGTCACAACCACTCCTTTCCCAACAAGTACTATGGAAGGTACAACAAGTACTACTATTACTAATAGCACTACACCATCCTCTACAAGTACCCCTACTGCTAGCACTAGTACTCTGCCGATCACAACCACTCCTTTCGCAACAAGTACTATTGAAGGGACAACTAGTACTGCTGGTGCTGATACCACCACACCTGCCCCTACAAGCACTACTACTAGTACTAGTACTCTGCCTATCACAACCACTCCTTTCCCAACAAGTACTATTGAAGTGACAACTAGTACTGCTGGTCCTGATACCCCTACACCTGCTGCTACAAGTACTACTACTAGTAGTAGTACTAATACTCTTCCTGTCACAACCACTCCTTTCCCAACAAGTACTATTGAAGTGACAAGTACTACCAGTTCTGATGCCACTACACCATCCTCTACAAGTACCCCTACTGCTAGCACTAGTACTAGTCCTTTGCAAACAAGTCCTATTGAAAGTACCACTCCTTTGCAAACAAGTACTATTGAACTTACAACTAGTACTACTATTACTAATACCATTACACCTTCCCCTACAAGTACTATTTCTAATACTACGCTTCCTATTACAACCACTCCTTTCCCAACAAGTGCTAGTGAAGCTACAACTAGTACTTCTGGACCTGATACCACTACACCTGCCCCTCTAACTATGAATGCTAGCGCTAGTACTCTTCTTATCACAACCACTGCTTTCCCAGCAAGTACTATTGAATTTACAACCAGTACTACATATCCTGATACCACGACACCCACCCCTACAAGTATGACTGCTAGTACTACTCCTCTTCCTATCACTCCCACTCCTTTCCCAACAAGTATTACTGAAGCTACAGCTAATGCTACCTATTCTCATGTCACTATACCATCCTCTACAAGTATTCCTACTGCTAACACTAGTACTCTTCCTGTCACAACCACTCCATTCCCAACAAGTACTATTGAACTTACAACTAGTACTATTATTCCTAATACCACTACACCGTCCCCTACAAGTACCACTGCTAGCACTAGTACTCTTCCTGTCACAACCACTCCTTTCCCAACAAGTACTACTGAAGTTACCACTAGTACTACCCATCCTGATACCACTACACCTTCCCCTACAACTACGGCTAATGCTACTACTACTCTTCCCATTGCAACAGCTCTTTTCCCTACAAGTACTATTGAAGTTACAACTAGTACTACTATTCCTGATACCACTATACCATCTGCTACCAGTACTACTGCTAATACTAGTAGTATTCATCCTATCACAACCACCCCCTTCCCAACAAATACTACTGATGCTAGCACCAATACTAGTGTTCTTATTACCGCTACTCTTTCCCCAATAAGTACCGATACCACTACCATTAATAATAGTGTTTTAATTACACCCACTGCTTCTCCTATGAATGCGGGTGCTAATACTACTAACAACAGTTTTCCTATTACGACTCCTTTTTCTGTAAGTACTTATGATACAAACACTGCTATTGCTATGGTAACGACTTCTTTTACAAGTACTGATGTTGCTAGCACTGGCAACCACACTCCTATTACCAGTTCTCCTTCCCTTATGATATCCGGTGGGAATAGCACTAGCATTACTATTCCTACAACGTCTACTCCTTCTTCTACAGATATTTATTCTCCTAGCACTAGTGTAATAGCTAATACCACCACCAACACTGTAAACGGTACAGGGCATGCAGTAAATATTACTGATGCAGATAACTCTAACAGTGTTCCATATAACACTACCCATGTTTCTATTCCAAATGCTACAATGGCCTCAGACACATTAATGACTGTTCTTCTAGACACAGCAGCTCACAATCAGGTAACAGCCAACTCTGCAGTTAGTTATTTACCTATTGTTGCAACTAATGCTACCACAGATAGTACAAATATTACCATATATGCTTTAAACACTACCATTCTTGATAGAACAACAATGGATGCTTCTACTCCTGTATCTACCTACATTGCAAACACCGTAAATGCTACTCTAGTTCCATGATTACTACTTGAAGCAGGACAGTTACTATGGACATCTCTTTAAAAAAACTATTACAGGGGCACCTGGGTGGTTCAGCTGGCTAAGAGTCTGACTCTTGATTTCAGCCTAGGTCATGATCTCACATTTCATGAGATCAAGCCCTGCACTGGGCTCTGCGCTGACAGTGTGGAGCCTGCTTAGGATTCTCTCTCTCTCCCCCTTTCTCTCTGCCACTCCCCAACTCTTACATGTGCACACACACACACATACTCTCTCCAAATAAATACATAAACTTGAAAAAAACAAGTATTACAGATATAAAAAATGAATGAACAGGTACGATCTTATGCTACGTAAGTTTTCACAAATGTTAACATTAGCTTTTACACATATGGCTATTCTGAGCACTGTAAACTTTGCAGATACGTCTAAAGATGTATCCATGACTACTTTTATAAGTGTAATTAAAGAAGGCATGGATACTTCTTTTGCAGCCAGAATATATACTCCTATTTTGAAAATTATAACTCCTGTAGTCCCAGCAATTAAACTGTAGATACGTTATACATCTTTGCTAGAGACTTCATAGATAATTTTGGTAGCTCAGATAATACCATATTAGGCTCTGTAAATACTATTGTTTTAGGTGTAGTTATTGAAGTAACCTAACTTATTCTTGGGTTACAAGACATGATACCATAACTGACAGCACTGGTGATATGGGGCACTCACATGGCCAATAAAGCAACAGTTATTAATATCATAGTAGATTATTTAATTAGAAATGTTAAAAAATAATGCTTTATTTTCTTAGGGACTTTCCCACATACCATGGCTACCAATATAGCAATTCACTATTACACATCTTGAAAGTATTATTGCTTCTAAAGCAATCCTACATCCTAGCTATAACTATAGATATGGAAAGTGCTATCATTATAGATCTTGTACATACTTTGACTCCAGGAACTAAAATAATTACATTAAAAATATGATTACTTTTGGGGCGCCTTGGTGGCTCAGTCCCACTTCAGCCCAGGTCACAATCTCACGGTCCGTGAGTTTGAGCCCCACGTCGGGCTCTGGGCTGATGGCTCAGAGCCTGGAGCCTGCTTCCGATTCTGTCTCCCTCTCTCTCTGCCCCTCCCCCGTTCATGCTCTGTCTCTCTCTGTCTCAAAAATAAATAAACGTTAAAAAAAATTAAAAAAAAATATGATTACTTTTACTACTATAGGAAATAAAATTGTGATTATAGATGTTAAAAACATAACTTCCTAAACTTTGCAACCACTACTTCCATAAGTGCTACTGATAGTCTTACTACAAATTTGAGAAGTACTTTTATGTGCAGATATTAAAAGTACTTCCAGGTAATTACAGTTCATCTTAGGAGATCATTTTAGGCCCTTGATGTTACCCTGAATGGCTGGATTCACTTACAAGTCTCTAACTCTTCTGTAGACCAGAAATCACGCAGATGGAGATGGATACTTAAAGATATGGCATAGGAGAGATAGTCTCTGCCCTGGGGTCAGAGTTCTTGTTTACTTTTTCTCTTACCTACCAGCTTTTCCATTATTATTCCACCATGAAGACTCTTCCTCTGTGTTAGGACTTTCAGCATGTTCTTGGTCTTTCATATCCAAATTTACTATTTTTCCCTTGGTCTGTTACTTTCTTAGATTAGCCAGACCCCATAAAGAGACTCATAGTCATAACTGAATATGGCCAGTTGAATGCTATTGAAGGCTTAACCCTAGACAGTATTCTCAAAATGTAGTTTGGGTGCCCATGGGAGGCCACAGAACTCTTTCTGGGGTTCACAAGGCCAAATCTATCTTCATAATACTACACCATTAATTTCCTTTTTCACTCTCATTCTCTGTTAATATACAGTGGCATTTTCCAGAGACTTTATGCTGTGTGCTGTCACAGTAGATGAATATAGAAACCGACACAAGAATCTAGCTGTCTCGATTAAGATAGACATTAAACAGATTTACAAAATATCATTCTTTTCACTATTTTATGCTTTGAAATATAGCTGTTTTTCATAAAAATGCATTATTTATGTTAACATGTAATTGATACATTGTATTCTTGATGGATGAAAAAATAAATATTTCACAAAGTATTTTACAAATGACTCAATTTTAATTTCAAGTGCAGTACATGTTAGCAAATATAAGCCACCTAAACCAAGCATAAGGTCTTCATTAAATTTGAACATAAAGGGGTTGTGAGACCAAAGAGTTTGAGGATCACTTCCATAAGGCCACAATGGCCTGGATCCACTCTCGGGTCCAGGTCAAATACATTGAACTTCCCCAGCACTCAAAAACTCCAGCATCTGCGACTTGAGGTTCTAACCACACATGAATGTCTACCCCCTACTGCACACCTATCTGTGTAGCCTTCTGATCTAGCACCACACCTGTACTGTTGTCTGGCTGGCCTGACAGAGTTCCACATGAGGGGCACAGATTCCTCAGTTAGTTGCATTTGCCTTTTGAAGTCTTCCCACAAGCTGTGGCCTTCTGAATACAGTTGATAGATCTTCTACCAGGGTATGTATGCCTCTTAATTTGATCTTTCAACTCCAAACAAAACAAAACTCATAATTCCAAACTGTACTAATGGCCTTGGTCATAGACTCCCTCACTTGTTTCTTGACCAAGGGAGCTTCAGTGCACTTATCTGGTGGGCACCACAAACCCTGATATGGGACAAAGTGCTCTGTGTCCTAAGACACATGGGAGTCCTGCTGCCAACCCACCACACTGAAGCAGATTAGTTGGCCAAAGGCTTCACCTAAAACACTTGGGATTTGGAAAACCGAAGATAAATTTGTTGAAACAACCATTGTTCTTTAGTTACTAAAATTCATTCCCTTTGTATAGAAATCAACCATAAGTGAAAATTTGGGATCTTGTAAAGGTAAGTACTCCTGAAAAAAAGAGCAACAACAACAAAACAACAACAAACAGAACAGGAAAAAGGAAACCTGGACTTCAGAAGTTTGAAGGAACTTGAGAACTGGAGCTTGAGAGTCTAGGCACAAGATATGATCCTGGAACCAAGTTGAGAACACCTGGAAAGAGAAGAGATAAAAGCAAGTGTCAGTTTGCTCCTTCTGGGTCTTGAGCTTAGCTGGACCCTGTGCTTCTGTCAGACCCTAACATGGATGATACACCCCATTGGGCCAGCTCTAAGAACACCACCTGCTACGAGGTTGCTGCAGCGACTATGGCTATAGGTCGACATGTCTTCCCTTGCCTCAGTTTCCTCATCTATAAGATGGAGGAAACATCAGAACTGCAATGTACATGGAAATGCATTTTCAGTCTGTAGAATGCCATACAAATTTTATTGTTAGTCCACTGAGTGTCCTTATGTCTATTTACACTTTTCTGTTCTTCTTCCCCTATGTATCTTCCTGATACATAGCAGTTTTTCCTTTGAGCTGGTACTTTGTAATAAGGCTATTCTGAGTCTCTTTTTTCAAATGCTTCACTGCTAAATTAAATAATGCCCATCTTTTCCTCACTTTATAAAATAAATAGATGCAACTATCCCAGTTTTATGTTATTTTTCTATATTTTTCTTAAACTTTTTATACTTGCTGCTATTCATATGTTTCCCTCTAGAAAGAACAAAATATATGAACAAAACCAGACAAGAAAACTTTTGAAATTGCCAGTAGAGTTCATGTGCAGTGTGTATGTGTATCTTGTGTGTGTGTGTGTGTGCGTGTGCGTGTGCGTGTATTTTCATGCACGTTATCTTACATAGCAAACATCATATTTTCTGCTGGTAAAATTTTCTCTGGTTTGTATAATGAACTTTAACATATCAGTGTTTCTTCAGGCTCTTCAAAGAGCACTGTTATTTGATGGTGATTCACTGAATAAATGTGAGCACTATTGCTTGGAGAGGCTTTGGTTTATCTCCTATTCTGGCAGTGAGATATTGAGTTGCACGATGTTTTCCCCAAAATGACTTATGTTTAGTCTCTGCACTGAGGTGTGGACAGGGTGATCATTGTCTCTCAACTTATCTGCATGTGCTTATACTTCTATTCACTTAGGTTTTGTCTAAATAGGATATAAATGTTGAGCTGTTCATTGAAATAAAGAATACACATTTTTACAGTCGCACCACAGTGAATGGGATGCGAGGTGAGATGGGGTTGGCAGCGTGCTGGGAGGAGAAGAAACAATTCTCCATAGCTGGAGGCACTTTGATGGCACCTGGTGATGGAAAAACCTCAGAGAAGGTGATCTCAAACCGGACAGACACTGATTCATTTGGGCACAAGATGTTTAGAGATCTTTGGGAAACTGCTTTTACCCACAGCTGGAAGTGTTATCATATGTTAATTTCAAGAATAATACAAAATATTCTAATTTCAAATTAGATAAGATTATTTTTTGCATTTTATAAAGCATCTGTATTCTTAGTTTTTAAATTTATTTTTAATTTGCATCCAAGTTAGTTACCATATAGTGAAATAATGATTATTAGGAGTAGATTCCAGTGATTCATCCCCTGTGTATAACACCCAGTGCTCATCCAAACAAGTGTCCTCCTTAATGCCCCTTGCCCATTTAGCCCATCCCTCCACCCACAGTGTCTCCAGCAACCCTCAGTTTGTTCTCTGTATTTGAGAGTCTCTTATGTTTTGTCCCCCTCCATGTTTTTATATCATTTTTGTTTCCCTTCCCCTATGTTCATCTTCTTTGTATTTTAAATTCCACATATAAGCGAAGTCATATGATATTTGTCTTTCTCTGACTGACTAATTTCACTTAGCACAATACCCTCTAGTTCCATCCACGTTGCTGCAAATGGCAAGATTTCATTCTTTTTGATTGCCGAGTAATACTCCATTGTATATATACACCACATCTTCTTTATCCATTCATCCATCGGTGGACATTTGGGCTCTTTCCATACTTTGGCTATTGCAATTTAGACAAGATTATATTTTTCTTTCTGGTAAATTAAAATTTATAATTATAACATATCCTATGACCTTTATGAAGATATATATTTCTAATTCCAGCTTGAGGAAAATTTAGTCTTTT